CAACCTGTGCTTGGTGGTAAAGTTACAATTTGTGCTTGGTGATAAAGTTACAACCTGTGCTTGGTGGTAAAGTTACAACTTGTGCTTTGTGGTAAAATTACAACCTGTGCTTGTTGGTAAAGTTACAACCTGTGCTTGGTGGTGAAGTTACAACCTGTGCTTCGTGGTAAAGTTACAACCTGTGCTTCGTTGTAAAGTTACAAGCTGCGCTTGGTGGTAAAGTTACGACCTGTGCTTCGTGGTAAAGTTACAACCTGTGATTCGTAGTAAAGTTACAACCTGCGCTTCGTGGTGAAGTTACAACCTGTGCTTGGTGGTAAAGTTACAACCTGTGCTTGGTGGTAAAGTTACAACCTGTGCTTGGTGATAAAGTTACAACCTGTGCTTGGTGGTAAAGTTACAATTTGTGCTTGGTGGTAAAATTACAACCTGTGCTTGTTGGTAAAGTTACAACCTGTGTTTGGTGGTAAAGTTACAACCTGTGCTTGGTGGTAAAGTTACAACGTGTGCTTGGTGATACAGTTACAACCTGTGCTTGGTGGTAAAGTTACAACCTGTGCTTCGTTGTAAAGTTACAAGCTGCGCTTGGTGGTAAAGTTACGACCTGTGCTTCGTGGTAAAGTTACAACCTGTGATTCGTGGTAAAGTTACAACCTGCGCTTCATGGTGAAGTTACAACCTGTGCTTGGTGGTAAAGTTACAACCTGTGCTTGGTGGTAAAGTTACAACTTGTGCTTGGTGATAAAGTTACAACCTGTGCTTGGTGGTAAAGTTACAACTTGTGCTTTGTGGTAAAATTACAACCTGTGCTTTTTGGTAAAGTTACAACCTGTGTTTGGTGGTGAAGTTACAACCTGTGCTTGGTGGTAAAGTTACAACCTGTGCTTGGTGGTAAAGTTACAACCTGTGCTTGGTGGTAAAGTTACAACCTGTGATTCGTGGTAAAGTTACAACCTGCGCTTCATGATGAAGTTACAACCTGTGCTTGGTGGTAAAGTTACAACCTGTGCTTGGTGGTAAAGTTACAACTTGTGCTTGGTGATAAAGTTACAACATGTGTATGGTGGTAAAGTTACAACTTGTGCTTTGTGGTAAAATTACAACCTGTGCTTGTTGGTAAAGTTACAACCTGTGTTTGGTGGTAAAGTTACAACCTGTGCTTGGTGGTAAAGTTACAACTTGTGCTTGGTGATAAAGTTACAACCTGTGCTTGGTGGTAAAGTTACAACCTGTGCTTGGTGGTAAAGTTACAACCTGTGCTTGGTGGTAAAGTTACAACCTGTGCTTGGTGGTAAAGTTACAACCTGTGCTTGGTGGTAAAGTTACAACCTGCGCCTGGTGGTAAAGTTACAACTTGTGCTTGGTGGTAAAGTTACAACATGTGCTTGGTGATAAAGTTACAACCTGTGCTTGGTGCTAAAGTTACAACCTGTGCTTGGTGGTAAAGTTACAACTTGTGCTTGGTGATAAAGTTACAACCTGTGCTTGGTGGTAAAGTTACAACTTGTGCTTGGTGATAAAGTTACAACCTGTGCTTGGTGGTAAAGTTACAACCTGTGCTTGGTGGTAAAGTTACAACCTGTGCTTCGTGGTGAAATTACAACCTGTGCCTGGTGGTAAAGTTACAACCTGTGCTTGGTAGTGAAGTGATCGTTAAATTATTAGTAATCCAATTTCTGCAGAGCTACACCGAGGGATCTCATTCCCTCTACGTTTTTTCTTAAACTGTGAATTAAGGCTAAAAAACTATAATGGAAGAAAGACATACAATTTTTATAATTTTTCTGAGATACGACCTGAAATACGGCCTGATATACGACTTGGTGAATGATCTGAGATACGACCCGTCAACACAATTATGACCATTTTCTGTGAGATACAATCTGAGATACGACCTGAGATACGAATTATGATACGATGTGAGAAAGGACCCGAAATAAGACATGTCACCCAAATGATGACCAGCGCTAGCAACGGATAGCGTTCTATATATTAAAAAGTAATTGCACATTTGTTTTCTCGTCTGAAAATTGACATTGATTACCAACTTTGGAGTTACTGAACAGTATGATTTAATTTAATACTTCTGCGTCCAGTGAATGTGTAGCAAATGATTTCTTTAGATTGCATCACTATTTGTATACCATATATTAATTTCACCTAACTAAGTGAATATTCTATGTTATTAATAGACCCGTAGACTGATTTGCTGTTATCTACCCAGGACTTTTTTCAAGTCCGATAATGTTCCTATGACTTTAAATATATTTGGTTGTTTCAAATGTATATAATTTAAATTTTGAAAAGGTTTATTGATAACATTTCCCCCCCCCCATTTGTTGTTCCCAGCCCCCCCCCCCCTAATNTTTCCCAGCCCCCCCCCCCTAATATCTTAAGCATTGTACTTCCTCCCCCCTTGGGACTCCAACCGGCCCTTTGTGGCTGCACCTTCAACTTGAGAACCACTGATTTAGATAGTACACGTGTTTCATTTATCGTCAAAGAGGGGGGGGGGGGATACAGATCATTTTTTTTGGAGGGGGTGGTTAAAAAGAGGGGGGGGCGCTTGTGGTAGTGGTACTTTTCAACAGCACTTCACCCGTACCTGATGATCCGTGCCAATGTTGTACTTCAATCTATCGATCATGTACTTCTGCACTGTTTTCTCTTCTGGTTTGATTTTGTTCTTGTCACTGGTGGCCATGAAAGGCTTTTGTAGATACCATGTGCGGAAAAGGGTATCCCGATTATGGTCCACGACTGACTAATATAAGGACTGTCTCATGCTACACTATCTATTTATTGTAGCTTGCTGCTGGAGTTGATTACAGGAAACAGACGAAGGAAATGGACAGCCAGGAAATGGACAGCCTTTCCTGACTAAGCCGCAGAAATGTCTCCCATTTGCGTTAAAACGTTTTAAGCAAAATTAAACATTTGTCCAGTTTACCCATATGATTCATGTTAATTCCCAAAAATTAATGGATTTCTCCACCCTGAGTCGACTAACTTAACCAAAACCACAGTTGAGTCTAGAGAGTTTTTATTAATTCTCTTCCCTCCCGCCACTACCCTCCCCCCCCTTTACCAGTTGTCAACAGGCCTGCACAATAAAAGACTCGGATATATACGAGGGTCGTAACCCCCAGGCTCGTATCCACAATCATAGGGTATCGCCTCGCTAATCTCAGTCACTCAGCAGACGATCAGGCTTTCAATCCTCACCCCTGTGGGAGTTCATGGCACGTCACTGGTCGAGGTGATTAGCTCCGAGGGGGAAATAATGCGTCGCCCGTGTGCCGCACTTCAACGCAAAACTCGCGTATCTGACGGCACCCGGGGGTGGGGGGGGTCCTCTACCTAAGTGTGACGCCATTGCCACTTTCGAAATATGTCTATTTTCTTTCGTTTTCTACATGTTCATTTTTTTAGATTGTTTGGTTGTATGGTAAGAAAAAAACAACAATCCTGTTTTTACCAGTGTAATATGTGGGGAATGGTTCTGTTTAGTGGGTAGCTGGATAATGAGAAGGTTAGGAGGCCTAACTAAGGATATGCTCATGAGTTACTCTCTGATAATGCAAACATAAATTATTTTAACTATTCATAATTAATCGATGTTTAACGAGCTGCATTAAGAGTTAATGGGGGTCTAGAAACATGTGACATTAATAATTAATGGAGGTCTAGAAACATGTGATATTAATAATTAATGGAGGTCTAGAAACATGTGACATTAATAATTAATGGAGGTCTACAAACATGTGGGCTTAAGATTGAATGAAAGATCTAAAAACAACAAAACTCATTTCAAGTGAGGCAAAAGGGTAACCATCAATAACGAGTGACTGAACTGTTAAGTTGTGGGAGAGCTCTAATGGCAGAGATACCCAGTGCCATCATTACACTGTCCAGTTAAGTTGTATGTGATCTCTAATGGCAGAGATACCCTGTGCCATCATTACACTGTCCTGTAAAGTTGGTCATTCAAGGGTGCAGTCCATATTCGAAGACTATGAGTTCATTACAATAAGATTATACATAATTAACGGACAGAGGAAATAATTTATTTTAAAAACGCAACTTAATACTCAGTTCACACGATCAAATTTTCTTTCATACATTTGATGCGATTTTGGTACGATGCCTTGTCACAACATTTAGATTATTCTTTGATCTAATTACCATTTTTGTCCAAAAAAAACAACAACAAAAAAACCAAGCACAAAATAGTGCGTTGATACAAAAATTTGACGAAAATTTGATCGCGTCAGCTGAGCATACAGGAACACCCTGTTTGTAATGATTACTATTTATACGAGTATAAAAGTGCCTGACATTGAGTACTTCGCTTATAGACATCATGTTTCCTCTGCTACCTGGAGTCAGATTTTTCTATGCAGAAAATGGCGACCGATGCCTATCGCTACAAACCTGGGCGATGTCAACAGTCCACACAAACACATTCACACACACACTAACCGTCCCATGCACTTATCATTATGACAGATCAATTCTCTATTCAGGTTCACGTCATTTAAACTAAAATGATCAAGTGACTGCGTGTAATTGGTCTTGAAACTCGGGTTATGGAATTTCATGGATTACGCTAATGTGGACACAAAAAAGAAACTTGAGTGTGGGTCTGCATTTCCGTTTGTTTTTGCGTTATAATTAAAAAGCTTCATCGAATAAGCCTGATTATATAGATTATTATTATATATATATAATCGAAAGCATTATGTACGTGTCAATCTGATTTAATTTAAACATTTTCCTTTAATAATTAATTAATATATTTTTTTTGTGTGTGTGTGGCTGAATTCAATAGAATGGAAGACGCCAGTCGGAACAAATTCAAGTGGAATTTTGTAATTAGTAAAGAGTTTCAACAAAGGGAGCTCATCCACTCTCTTGCGTGATAAGAATGTTGGGTGGCAGTTGCGATTGAAATGCCATAAATAAAGGGGAGTCACTCTTGTGGCTCGGAACAGCAAGATTGAACTTCCACCAAAAAATATTCTTCAAAGGACTTACGGTGCGCGTAACCCACGGGTCTTTATCATTGTCTGTGCCCCGTTGTGTAAGTCCTAAGGGGCAAGGTGAAGTGTCGTGTTAGTCCTACAAGACAAGTATTTTGTGTGCTGGTGTGATTCGGTGGAAGTGATCGGGGACCGGTGATGTAGAAACTCGAAACGAGACAGTCTGAAAGGGAAAGTGCTCATGTTGATGACATTCAAGGGAGACAAGTGGGTTCATACTGTGCTACTGCTGTCCCCTTTGTTGCTAGGGTGAATTTTTATTTACTAACGTCAGCTTGTGGTGTGTTGATCTTTTGCATGGGGTAGGAAAGAGAATGCCCTGAAGCGAGGTTGACTGGAGCTAAAGGGGAGATTCTTGACCAATGACAAATGAGTTCAAAGGTTGAGTTCAGCCACCTTTAATAAGTAGGTTACATCTAGAATAATAAATATAGAAATTATTTATTTTCGATATGGGATGGTTGATAATCCGAACCAAAAAAAGGTTCACTCAGCTGTTTCTACATGTTTGTGAACATTGTTTAGTATCAGGTGCTCATTTTATTTATAGCAAGCTAAAACAGTTCTATTGCTGCCCACATATACTACTTACCAGCTAAGTGCTATTTCTTATTTTTATACCGTTTTTTCTATTGTTTTGTTCGCTGACGAAGGCTTTCTGCAGATACGTTCGCTGTTTTGTTGCGTATATTTTTTCAGGTTTAACCCTACTCTGTTTTACTCATGTTATTTTGTACTAACCTGATTGCAGTCTCTCCCCTTATTACCCCTAAAACAGTTGGAACATTTCTGGAAGGTAATTTCAATGTTGACGCAATGCGCCATTTGAGCCAATCGAACTCTGATATCTTTTATTTATTACAGAACTGAGTGAAATTGTTACAAAATGTTACAAAATTTTAGCCAATCGAACTCTGATATCTTTTATTTATTACAGAACTGAGTGAAATTGTTACAAAATGTTACAAAACTTTAGCCAATCGAACTCTGATATCTTTTAATTATTACAGAACTGAGTTCAATTGTTACAAAATGTTACAAAATTTTAGCCAATCGAACTCTGATATCTTTTATTTATTACACAACTGAGTTCAATTGTTACAAAATGTTACAAAATTTTAGCCAATCGAACTCTGATATCATTTATTTATTACACAACTGAGTTCAATTGTTACAAAATGTTACAAAATTTTAGCCAATCGAACTCTGATATCTTTTATTTATTACACAACTGAGTTCAATTGTTACAAAATGTTACAAAATTTTAGCCAATCGAACTCTGATATCTTTTATTTATTACAGAACTGAGTGAAATTGTTACAAAATGTTACAAAATTTTAGCCAATCGAACTCTGATATCTTTTAATTATTACAGAACTGAGTTCAATTGTTACAAAATGTTACAAAATTTTAGCCAATCGAACTATGATATATTTTGTTTATTACACAACTGAGTTAAATTGTTACAAAATGTTACAAAGATTCCCCAAAAAAATTATTTGATGATTTCTAACCATCCTTTTTAACACAATTTTTAAACAATCTTATTCATCAATATTTCTTACCATCTTATTCATCAATATTTCTTACCATCTTATTCATCAATATTTCTTACCATATTATTCATCAATATTTCTTACCATCTTATTCATCAATATTTCTTATCATCTTATTCATCAATATTTCTTACCATCTTATTCATCAATATTTCGTACCATCTTATTCATCAATATTTCTTACCATATTATTCATCAATATTTCTTACCATCTTATTCATCAATATTTCTTATCATCTTATTCATCAATATTTCTTACCATATTATTCATCAATATTTCTTACCATCTTATTAATCAACATTTTTTTAGTGTCATTTAATAATCATGACTTTATCTGAGTGGATTCAACAGTTATGGCCAGGTAGTACGGCTTGGACGTGATCGTTACGTCATTACCATCAGGACAATGATGGTAGGCTGTCGCCTCGTGGTCATCTTGTCCTTGTTCATGCTGGTCATTCCCAGTACAGGTAAGGCCATACTGTTACGTGTTAGTGACCACTTCATCTCCCACAATCCGAACTGGACGATCCTTATACAAATGTTCTAGTGCTATAAAAGAAAATAAAATCGTAAAATATAAAAAAAGGATACGTTTAGTACTAATATATTAAAATGATAGGCTTATGGACCTCATTTTGGTGCGACAAGGGGTCTTATCCCCCCTGGAATTGTAGGTTTCATTTAAAATGCCATGTACTGCGGCACACAGTAAAAAAAAAGTTAAAAGAAAAAAAAAGTGTATGATTTTTCTTCACCCCCCCCCCCCCCAAGGAAAAAATGTAATGATGTCCGTGGCTAGAAATGTATATTATTATTGCCGTCCAGCCCCTAGTGATTTTCTGCACTAACTTGTAGCTTCTCTATTGGGTGAAAGACCATAAAGGATATCTCTCTACTTATCCCCGGCTGTGTCCTCTCTCTCTATCAATATCTTGTCTCATCTAATGTAAATGAAGAGATATCGAAACTCATCTATCGAAACTCATCTATCGAAACTCATCTATCGAATTGCATTCATAAACAGAAAAAAAAAATTATCGAAATATTATTTTCCAAATAAAATTTATTTCAATTGAAGACAAACTGTAACCAATAGATTATTTATTGGCCATCGATCCCAGATGGCGCATCTTGTGCGTTTCCGGCTGACCTGACTGGGGATTGGTGGTCTTCAAAGAAAGGGGAGGTCACTTTCACGACCACAACTTTAAGCAATTACAACCCTTGCAGGAAACCCGAAGACTGCTCGGGGGTTACCTCCACTTGGACGTGTTTAGCAAGCTCAGGGAATAAATATTTCATCAGGTCAGTCAGCCAACGTCAATCTTACATCAATGCATACCCTGAATAGAATCAACTTAAATCAATACATGTAATGAATAAGACCTACTGATTAGCTTTCAGATCATGAGGTTCAGCTTTAATCGGATCAGTTTAGATCGTCTCTTAACTGGATAGGTCTAAAACAAAACAAAAATACAGCTAACCGGGAATGACTCAGCACTTTAGAGTTTATGTCTAATTTAAAATGCATGAACAACATAGCTGTCAATCAGGGACATATTGTATAGTTGTACAATTTAGACCCCGCCCACCCACCAAAACCCCCCCCCCCCCCCCCCCCCCCCCCCCCCCACACCCACACCACACCCCCCACTAAAACAAAACAAAAATACAGCTAAACAGGAAATACTCAGCACTTTAGAGTTTAAGTCTAAATTAAAATGCATGAAACACATAACCGTCAAACAGGGACAAATTGTATAGTTGTACAATTTAGACCCCGCCCACCCACCAAACCCCGCCCCCCCCCCCCACACACACACACAAACTTTTTTATGAGAATGCAAAACCGATGGTTCAGCTTTGGATCACGATCCACCATTGATTATCTGATCAATTTAAATAATAGGATACTATAATGAGATATTGTTCTAACGGCATTGAGAAATATTTAACGTCTGCCTTGACACTACGGTTTGCCACCCTATTTCCTGTTATTGATGCCATGTTATTGATGCCCAGGTATTGACGCCCTGTTATTGATGCCCTATAACTAATGCCCTGTTATTGATAACCTGTCACTGGTGCCCTGTTTATAACTCATTGTCGCACCTCTGTAGGAGTGATCCATTTGAAGTCCCAGGCACAGGAACAACTGCATACGTGTATGCATGCCTGTACATGTACAGACTGAGCAGTACAAAGTACTTGGCTTACCAGGGACCGAAGGGTAAGTTATGCATTGGTTGCATCCTAATTAATGTCTAAACGAATCTTACCATTTATATTCTTTTCCTGTTTTCCACGTAAGGGTTTTATTCAGATCTGTAACCTTTAACTGATATCCACATGAGGGATTTATTCAGATATGTATCATTTCCTTGATTTCCACATGAGGACTTTATTCAGATCTGTAACATTTCCCTGATATCTACATGAGTGATTTATTCAGATCTGTATCCTTTCCTTGATATCGACATGAGGGATTTATTCAGATCTGTATCCTTTCCTTGATATCCACATGAGGGATTTATTCAGATCTGTATCCTTTCCTTGATATCGACATGAGGGATTTATTCAGATCTGTATCCTTTCCTTGATATCCACATGAGGGATTTATTCAGATCTGTATCCTTTCCTTGATATCGACATGAGGGATTTATTCAGATCTGTATCCTTTCCTTGATATCCACATGAGGGATTTATTCAGATCTGTATCCTTTCCTTGATATCGACATGAGGGATTTATTCAGATCTGTATCCTTTCCTTGATATCCACATGAGGGATTTATTCAGATCTGTATCCTTTCCTTGATATCCACATGAGGGATTTATTCAGATCTGTATCCTTTCCTTGATATCCACATGATGGATTTATTCAGATCTGTATCCTTTCCTTGATATCCACATGAGGGATTTATTCAGATCTGTATCCTTTCCTTGATATCCACATGAGGGATTTATTCAGATCTGTATTCTTTCCTTGATATCCACATGAGGGATTTATTCAGATCTGTATTCTTTCCTTGATATCCACATGAGGGATTTATTCAGATCTGTATCCTTTCCTTGATATCCACATGAGGGATTTATTCAGAGTCGTTTTTTAAAATTCTCAGTTTTTTTTTTCTCTGTTGTGTTTGTTGTCCTCAAAGTCTTCCAGCCGAAGTGTCCACCGTTTTGCGCTGTATTATTCAGGTTTTCCTCGGCCATGTGTGCTACCATCTGTGTTAGCTACCGTTGTGTGTTTACTACCATGTGTGTTTGCTACCATGAGGATATGATAACAACCAAACAATATGAAACTAGATTACATGTGTGTCAATGATGTCAATCCAAAGTAGATGACGTATATTTCTCAAGCAGAACAATTTATGGATTCTTTCAACTGCAGCCGAGAGACAGCAACCCTACAACGATTATGTCATACCAAGCCGGAGTCTGACGTACGCACTGTCTGACCTGTGTGACCTGGACGAGAACGCCTTGCCTGCCAGCCGACACAACCTGTTCATTCGAAATGGTACGTCTGACGTATGGGCATTATGGTAGGTCTCATGCATGGGCATTATGGTAGGTCTCATGCAAGGGCATTATGGTAGGTCTCATGCAAGGGCATTATGGTAGGTCTCACGCAAGGGCATTATGGTAGGTCTCACGCAAGGGCATTATGGTAGGTCTCACGCAAGGGCATTATTGTAGGTCTCATGCATGGACATTATGGTAGGTCTTACGCATGGACATTATGGTAGGTCTCATGCATGGGCATTATGGTAGGTCTCATGCAAGGGCATTATGGTAGGTCTCACGCAAGGGCATTAGTGTAGGTCTCACGCAAGGGCATTATGGTAGGTCTCATGCATGGACATTATGGTAGGTCTCATGCATGGACATTATGGTAGGTCTCGCGCAAGGGCATTATGGTAGGTCTCACACATAGGCAGTATGGTAGGTCTCATGCATGGGCATTATGGTAGGTCTCACGCATGGGCATTCATAACACCGCGGAGATTATCCGAAGTCACTAGGTTTGGAGAACTATTTTTTCATATAGCCCAACACAATCACGAAAATATTGCGTTAAAGCAGTTAGCATATACAATGTCATATATGTTTTATCGTATACACGTATGGTAACTTGTTGTACCATATATTATTATGTAAAGCTATTATCTATTTCCCGCTATTTAAAATTTTATTCAACCTGGATTGTTCGACAGGAATCAGAACTGTTTGTATGCAACATATCCATGCGCCACATTGTGTTGACGAGAAGAGTGCGCTTTTTTTAACGACTGTGGCATTTCGGATAACCTTCATTCCGTATAATCAAATGGAAGTGGCTATTCGCACCCGGGTACCAGAAGTGAGAGGTTGGGATTGAAAAAGTATTTAAAATAGTATTTTTTGGGTTTGTAAGAAAAAAATGAGATATCAAATGACAGATAATTGAATGGAATATAATGTTAGTAAACTTAATTCTTCAGTTTAACTAAAATAAACTACACCAAATGACGTCAGAATAGCATTTAATCAAAATGGACCTGGACACGCATCGTCACCATTTGTACCCGGGTCCCATTAGTCATTGTTATTCTGCATTCTGTAAAGGGAAAGTGACAAGGCCGAGCCTTGTTGATTAAGTAACTATCTGAATATTTCCCTCCCGTTTAATCAGGGTTCTTGGCTCTGATGTTGATTAGCGACAACGCTTGTAAATGTTGTGCTAAGGGCCACAAAAGTACCATCAAGCGGCCCTTACGAAAGTTTGAGTTTAGCACTCCTGGGTTAATTACTCCTTCCGGGAGTATTGTCCAAATGACGTATTAAATAAGTTACTTTTTGGCCTGCCTGCCTCATTTTTTTAAAATTCATTTTGGCTTTCACTATTTCGATGAGGAAGGCATTATGCCAATACGTGCGTTGGTTTATTATTTTTCTAAAGTAAGAAAATCTATTTCTTTCATTTTTTCCGAATACATGTATTTCTGATTCCCATTAACTAAACAAGTCTTTGGTATCATTCTCAATATTTTCTTAATATGTAAAACAAACCGGAAGAGTAGCTGGTGTCCAGCTGCCCATATCTTGTAGAACATTAGCTGTCCATATCTTGTAGAACATTAGCTGTCCATATCTTGTAGAACATTAGCTGTCCATATCTTGTAGAACATTAGCTGTCCATATCTTGTAGAACATTAGCTGTCCATATCTTGTAGAACATTAGCTGTCCATATCTTGTAGAACATTAGCTGTCCATTTCTTGTAGAACATTAGCTGTCCATATCTTGTAGAACATTAGCTGTCCATATCTTGTAGAACATTAGCTGTCCATATCTTGTAGAACATTAGCTGCCCATACATGTCGACGATTAGCTGTCCATATGTTGTAGACCATTAGCTGTTCGTATCTTGTAGCCCATTAGATGTCCAATATACTGTAGACCATTAGCTGTCCATATCTTATAGAACATTAGCTGCCCATATCTGTAGACGATAAGTTGTCCATATTTTGTAGAACATTAGCTGTCCATATCTTGTAGAACATCAGCTGTGCATATCTTGTAGACAAACAGCTCCATTTTTTAATGCTACTCTACATTGCAATATATGCAAACACATCATTTTCTCTCACTGAAGATTCCACTCTGTCCGCCGAGACCACGTGCCCCGCCGAACTTCTGGGAAACTACATGAGTGACAACAATGGCCAATGCAATGTGACAGTTGACGTCTGCACGGACAGGAAGCGGATCGCCGTGGATAACATGGGGTGTGACGATGACAACGACACCAGCGATAACATGTTTTTCACAGGTAGCTCCTTCAATGGCTTATTGTACACTAGTATATTAAGCTGGTCTTAAATGAAAGTGTTTTGTATTGCCTATGGGTGCTGGGTGGCCGGTTGGTCTAAACTGAGGAAATCTTAAGTCAAAAAATCACAAGCACCCCGGGTGGATAGGAATCGTTAACCTTGGATGACAACTCATCTAAGATAAGGCAACTCTGAATTCAATCTCCGTAGGCGGATAACGTTAGAACAATGAGACATTCCGGCCACTCCTGAGACGCCACTTGTGCCAAGCTGCATCATCCAAACGATTTTCCCTTGGGTTATCCAGCGGCGTGCAGCGATGCGATTTGCAGTTGGGAACCACCATATAAGTCTAGAAGAACAATCCCTTGTGGATTTCTTTCGAATTGAATTAACCCAGTGCTACAATAAAAAGCGCCAAAGAGTCAGAGCCGTAGGTAGGATTAACCCTCAAAAGACGAAATGGGTGATGAAAATATAACGTATATGTATATATGAAGAAGTATAGTTTTAGTTATATGTACATGAAAATGTTAAAGGTTGGTCGGAGATACTAGTTTTAGAGGACTGTAATCCCATCCCATCTGATCCAAATCACATTCTAAAGTCGTCCCCATCATATCCATCATCTCATTCCTATCTCAATCTCATCACATCGTCATCAAATCCTTATCCCCATCACATTTCCATAACATCCTCATACTTCGAGCCATTTGTTAAGAGGTGAAAACACTGAAAATATGTTTCGTGTTAGCGTGTTCCTCTATCATGCTAGAGTCATTAGTAAAGTTTAGTTCGATGTGCAACATGCAATGGGGAATTCAGAAAATTATACAAAATGGTCTGATGTAGACGAGACGCGAAAGATGTTTGCAATGAAGAAGTAAAGATTTTTTCTTAAAAGATAATTTCAAGACTTGGTTATTCTTTTAAAAAAAGTCGAGAATCTTTGCTATAAACGATAGAGGAAAATCATTCGACCCAGCCATAGATAATGAGGGATGAAGAGTGTGTACGAACCAAGATATATATCAATTATTCGAAGACCCAATCAGAGTCGCAGTAATTAAGTGGCGTGCTGAGATGCATAGGACACCTTGAGACGATGTCGGGTTTTAGAGAAGCGAAAGTGAACTACAGAAAGAAACCTTGGGGCATACGGCTCATAGGATGACCAAGACTGAGATGGATCTACTATGCAGAGATGGAATTACATGAGCTGTGAGTCCACGCATGGAGACGTGAAACTATGGATCAGTGCGAGTGGGAGGATGTGGTAAGCAGGCCAGAGCCCCACGTTGGCTGTAGTGCCACTGATGATAATGGTATCTTAAAAAGAAATGGTATGAACCTACACTATCACTACCCCCCTCCCACACGCAAACAAATTTTACAAAGGTTTGCCACTAACGTAATCGTTTTTTAAAGTCACATTGTCACTTTATGAAGACATATTGTCATTTTATGAAGACACATTGTAGCTTTATGAAGACATATTGTCATTTTATGAAGACACATTGTCACTTTATGAAGACATATTGTCATTTTATGAAGACACATTTTCAATTTATGAAGACACACAATTGATAAAATTGTTATACACATAAACTTGTTGAACGTTGGTTCACAGGAAACGGAACCCTGTCGTGTGTTTACAGCCTGCAGGAAAGGGCAACAACTTACGTCACTTTGTACAGCATAGAGGATCGACATAACGACAGTCTGACTATAACTTTCACTTGCATTGTACGTTTTTCTTATGAACTTTTTTGTATACTTTAAATGTTAACACTTTTAATTGATATTTAAACATTCTTATGTAGTTTTTTTTATTAGGTTTTTATGTCTATATCTCTTTTAAATAGTTGTTGTTTATATAGTTTTATATAATTTTGTAAAAACTTGTTTATATAGTGTTAACATAATTTTTATACAGTTGTTTATATGGTTACTAATTTTTTTTTTAAAGTCGTTTTATTCGTTTTAGAATAATGATAAGAGCCTCCAGAGGGGTAAAAGAATCAGAGTTAGGTAAACTTAAACCTCTTACTATTAAGATATTGTCTTCAGAATTTTTAAAAGAGATTTTCCCAATAGTTATCAGAATATAAACAATGTATAACCTAATACTTGGATGTTTATGTCATTTACCGACACTCGAGTGCTTTTAAATAGATTATAAACATCTCTTTACAAAATCTTTCTCACATTTCTGTCAATTTCTCAGTCCATCACACTGAACGACAGCACAGTTCTGATCCGTCAGGCACCGAATGAATGCTACAAGCTGGACGAAACCGTCAGGGAATACCAGCTGGAGCCCAACTGTAAGTGTAAACAATAATGCTAAACTATATCATTAGAACTCTGAGGCCACCTGTTAGTGTAGCAAGTCAAGCTAAATTAAATAGAACTTCCGTCATTTGTATTCTTGTGGAGTGTTCTATTTAATTCAAGGTTTGGCCAACATTTTAAGGCGGCGGGCCAAATTTCAGAAATAATATTTCCTCCCGGGCCATGCAACTAAGAAAGAGGTATTTAAAAAAAAAAAACTTTGAAGAAAAAAAATATATTATTGAGAATTAAACATATTTAATAGACAATTTTAAAACATTTAAAAGTGAGACATCTGGCTTAGTTTTGCAGAACTAAGTTGCATCCAAATTGATCTTGACTGATGTTGCCGCTGCACGCAAACAGTTTTCCAAATGAACATCAGTAATTCGTGTTCTCACTTATGATTTGCTGTGCTTCATCGACTTTAATCCCGCTCCCATGCATAAATGTTTAAAAATAACGAAACCATCGACAGAGCATGTTTGTAAAACGCAGGGTAATTATCCTTGTCCAAATACCTTTTATAGAACTCTTTTAAACCAACTTGGTGGAATTTCTTCTTTAACTATGCACACACAAAATTTTACAGTGTTCCATCTGTAATCTTCCTGACAATAAATTCACACCTACCGAAAATTTTATTGCAAATGCACAAAAAATTAAATTATATTTTTATAAATTCTGAAATGTGTTTTTAAATTTGACGCTTAAGTCAGGTAGCAAAGAAGCGTATTGATCCGCCGCCTCCTGTGTGACGTCTAGCAGCGTCCAGTGTGACGTCTAGCAGCGTCCAGTGTGGCGTCTAGCAGCGTCCAGTGTGACGTCTAGCAGCGTCCAGTGTGACGTCTAGCAGCGTCCAGTGTGACGTGTAGCAGCGTCCAGTGTGACGTCTAACAGCGTCCAGTGTGACGTCTGGTTGCAATGAAAATTTAGGAAAGGGAACAAAGTTTTTTTTTCCTAAACTGTTGTTCGAAAATACCAAACTTCATTTCAAATGTAGAAATATGATCATATATATCTTATTAATTAATTGATCTTTCCCTTGTAGACGATTATTGACGTCATTTAGGTGGCTAGTTATATCAACAATAAAAGCAAAGTCCCAAACTCACTCTTTGTCTTCATACTCTTGGAGACTTGCTTGCAAAGAATGAATGTATTTCTTGTTGCAACTCTAACATTTTTTTTCAACAGTTAAAATGTAACGTCATTATAATCTAAGTCCAAAGACTTTAGAAATTCTTGGAACTGACGGTCATTCAACCCGTTCGACTTGATGAACATCATTATTTTGACGACCACTTTCATGACCCGCTCCATTTTGAAGGACTCCGAACATAAGCTCTCCTGTCCGACAAGTTGTTAAGTTGTAACGAAAAGCGATGCAATGTCAACGTATCTGCCTCTAACAAATCTCGTGACCTTGTTGTTTCCTTAAGTGGATACAGTGCCACAAAATCTTCAGTCTTTTTTTTAATATGAACATAAATACACCTCATAAAAATTGCCAGTTGAGCAGTATCTGCCATATCTGTGCTTTCATCCAGTGTTAGAGTTGGTCAGTATCTGCCATAACTGTGTTTTCATCCAGTGTTAGAGTTGGTCAGTACCTGCCATATCTGTGCTTTCATCCAGTGTTAGAGTTGGTCAGTACCTGCCATATCTGTGCTTTCATCCAGTGTTAGAGTTGGTCAGTACCTGCCATATCTGTGCTTTCATCCAATGTTAGAGCGTAATTATAACCTCGGATTCTCGACGTTTCAAATTATCTTCAATATGTTTTCCAATGTTCGTCCACAGGCCTAATATTAGTCCGACAAGACAGTCATATTTTGGTGAAATCTTTCTTCTTTTCTCGACATAGAATTTCAACGACGCTCTACAAACATTCCTTAACCATTTCACCATCTGAATATGTATTCGATTTTTTGCTATTATCATGGCTACTGCATAGCTAGCTTTTACATAGCATGTTGACTCTGAAACCAATTTAGTGAATATTTTTTATTGTGCAGATTTTTTTAAAAAGTAATTTATTTGGTCTTGTCGAAATTGCCCTTTGTCCTTAAAAAAATTATTTGCATGTTTAGTCTCATAGTGCAGTTTAATTTATACTCTTTCAAAACAGAAAGAGATTCTTACATATCAAACCTTTTTATAAATATGATCAATATATATTTCAACGTCAATCGCAAAATCTCTACAGACGCGTTGCCGATAAACAAACTACAAGAAAATACGGAAAATAGTCGAGCTGGACTAACACACATATTCTGAGGGTCTGAGATTACTCACCTATGACCCCGGCTAGTAAATTGGCTATCAACTCTATCTGTTGAGCTGAGCCATACATTTTCATCACAAAGGTCCTCCGACCGCCCTAGCTTCCCCCGGGAGATCTAGTGAGGGACATTCAGTCAACAAGTGCTCTAAAGTCTTCGGGGCCAGGCTGCAGTGCCGGCAGGTAGCATCCCTGTTGTTGTCCAGCCGCCAGAAATATGTCCGCAAGGGGCAGTGCTCGGTGCGCATCTGCGTCACTAAGCTCTGCTGTCTGCGTCCTAACCCCCACCATGGGTCGTGTTTGATAGGAGTTGGCAAGTTTGAATAGAAGCCTCTGGCGGTCGTGTTGTCTGCCCATTGCCTGTACCACTTCTGCCTGAAGTTGTCCGCCAGCCAGTTTTTAATACTCAAATAAGTCATTGGTACTTCTGGCTGAGGCTGGGCAGCCCCGGTTTTCGCCAGAGTGTCCGTTCTCTCATTGTCACTGATGTTGACGGAGCCAGGTATCCACTGTATTGATACCTTGCCCCTATTTGCACACATCATTGGTGATGACGTCGACCAAGTGTGTGGTACCTTCTCTCTTCCCCAAGATCCCTAGAGCCGATCTTGAGTCTGAGTAAACAACTACATCAAGCCCCGCATGTTCCGTCCCTTTCAATGTGTCATGAATTCTCTCCAAGGCCCTGTGTATAGACACGAGCTCCGCATCGAAATTCGATGCTGCAGTCCCACAGGGCCCCGAGAACTCCTCAAGTTGGTGGTCCTTCCGCTGGATACAGTATGAGCGTGCCGTACCCAGCAGTTCTTCTCTCAAGTTGGCAGAGCGGTCCGTGAACACTTTCACTGGTATGTGTGTGAACACATCTATGGTCTCAAGGGCAGCCACTTTTTGAAAAAGTTCAGGGCTACGTTTCGTCACTGCTGCATCGATCAAGGTCAAATGTATAGAGGTACGTGAGAGTTCCGCATATGGCAGATTAACTGGTATTAGGGTCAGACTTTCTGTATTTTGGGGCAGGTCGACTGTCCTTTCCAGCTCCACGACCTGGTGCATGAAAGAGACCGCTTTAGTCGCCTGCCGCCAATCCAGTTATTCTGCATTTGGAAGGCCAGTTCATTTTTGCCCAGCCACCGGTACCTCTCTACGGTACTTAATATTGATTTTTCCCTGCTCATTCGAAGCGTTTCTACATTGGCTAAGACCTCTACAGCAGCTGTGGCTGTGATCCTGAAGGCGCCACAGATGTATCTCAGAGCCTGATTTTGGATTCGGCCCAACTTTTCCAATGCGGTCTTGCTTGCAAAGGATTGGACCGGCTTGCTGTAATCCATCACCGACCTTACACTGCGTAGGAATAGAGCTCTAAGCGTTCTTGCGCCCGCACCCCAACTTCTGCAAGCCAATTTTTTCACCTGATTGAGTTTAGCGGTTGCCTGGGAGCAGAGGTTTTGTACAAAATTATGCATTTGCACCTTTTGATCCAACTTGACTCCCAGGTAAACCGGTTGCTTGTCCCATTTTAGCGCTACATCGCCCACTTTGAGCTCGATCTTCTGTTTGAGAATGGTCCGCCCGTTGGTAAAGAGTGAATAGACCGTTTTCTCGGTGTTGATTTCCTGGTGCCACCGCCGCATGTACCTGTTGATAGCAGAGAGGTCTTGCTGTAATAGCGTTTGCAGGCAGTGGACATCCTTACCGGTACTCCAGTCGAGCTGGACTGAAACTAGTTATGCACATGAGCCCGTAGCGCTGCGAGCTTCACGAAGACCACATAGCATATTTGTCGGAAGCTGAAGTTTCATATTAAATTTTAACATCATCTAGAGTAGGAACAAAACTAAGTAACCTTGAATGTCAAATAGCGGAATATTTAAAATAGCTCAAAATCAATGAATTTTTCAAAAAAATGCGAGGTATTACTCATTGGTCTTAGCTATAATTTAGAAATATATGATGCGGACGACTCGTGGTGTAATGTTCTTTTGGTGATGTGTACAATAAAGTTAAAATGTATGTTTTTTAGACCTAGTTCAGCGGGCCGCAATATGACTCGCGGCAGGGCTCATGCGGCCCGCGGGCCTCATGTTGGCCACCGTGATTTAATCGCATGGCACACTTAACTTCATTAATTTGGACGGATCCCATTTGAGATTTAACAATCAATAGTAGGTTAAATGTGTTAAAATGATTTCATGTTTTTCTTTCTCAGATCTGTGTCGTAAGTATCTCTTAGAAGTTGTAAGTATGAGGAACTTCGGAATGTAAGATGTAAGTAGGACGGACCATAGAATGGTAGATGTAAGTAGGACGAACCAAATGAATGTAAGACGTAAGTAGGACAGACCAATGAATTCTTCTTCTTCTTCTTCTATATCTTAAGGGCCCACGATCAATTTATTGATCATTTTGGCTCCTATGCATGTAGATGGGATTTGCAATGTTTCTGTTCCTGGTCAACTACTCCTTTAAAGTGTCTAAAGCAGTGCCACTTTGTGAGGGAATCATGCACTGGGGGTTTGAAGGCTTGAGGCAATAGACACAAATGTGTCTAGTGTTGTCGCCTCAACCGTTCCTTTTGAAAGATTGTTCCAGTCCCTGATTAAGTTGTAAGTACGACGAACCCATGAATGTAAGAATGTATGTGGGACGAACCATAGAACATAAGATATTAGTACAGTGGTTCTCAGCCTTCCTAATGCTGCGACCCTTTAACACAGTTCCTCATCTTGTGGCGACCCCCGGGTTGAGAAACACTGTGTTAGTAGGACAAAGAAATTTATAGTTCACAATCTGGTATAAGGGACATATAGCCGGTTCAGATGTAGATACCTAGGATTGTACACGATCTGATCAATTATAATAATAAAAACTTACTTTCGGATACATCATTCAAATAATTAGTATATGTAAATTATGTGAATTGTAGATACAGATTGATAAACAAAACACAACAATCATGATTAAATAGCAGTCAGGTATTAGTCAGGTAAATGCTTTAATATGTCATTTAGTAGAAGGTTAATCCATTAAGAATATTTGAATAAGATAAATGTAACTGACACAAATATAAGGAACTGACACAACTATCACCAACAAACGCTTTTCAATATGTTCTCTCTACAGCCATTGGTTGTGACTTCTCTGAGAATCTGCTCGGCTCGTGGACGAGTAACAGGAAAGGGGACCTGGTCATATCCCAGAGTTCCATAGCGGGATTCCCGCCTTTCGGCCCGGACTGTTTGACAGCCGAGTGTACCACACAGCCGACAGCCTACGAGTGCTACCTAGCCAAAGGTTCTCGATACTTAGTAAGGTAAATGATCCAAATGTCTATACTGTACTCTTACGACAGTGGGCCGTAAACTCTTCGAGTGAGACTATTCCTTGGTCAAATGGTGAGACGTATTCACTAAAGTACATACTTTGGTAGAATAATTTGGTAGAAACAAACCAATAAACATTGCATTGGAACTAAGTGGATTCAATTGGTCTTATGTAGGATAAATACGTGGTAAGCAGTTGGCAAAGGGCGTAACCTAATAATAACATAATTAACAGAGTTGGGTGGGGGGTGGGGGTTGTCGAATCTTGACGAGGTGCGTTCGTGTATATTCCCCATAGATCATGGTATCTTTAAAATTGTGAAGGAATCTTATAATAGTCTCTGTAATATCGTTATGGCATCTTATCATGGTATCATAACATTGTGATGGCGTCATGATATCATAACATTGTGATGGCATCTTATCATGGTATCATATAATTGTGATGGCGTCTTTTCATGATATCATAAAATTGTGATGGCGTCTTATCATGATATTATAACATTGTGATGGCATCTTGTCATGGTATCATAACATTGTGATAGCGTCTTATCATAATATCATAACATTGTGATGGAATCTTAGCATGATATCATAACATTGTTATAGTGTCTTATCATGGTATCATAACATTGTGATAGCGTCTTATCATGATATCATAACATTGTGATGCCATATTATCATGGTATCATAACATTGTGATTGCATCTTATCCTTATACCTATAACATCGTGATTGCATCTTATCATGATATCATAACATTGTGATGGCATCTTATCATGATATCATAACATTATGATGGCATCTTATCATGCTATCATAACATTGTGATGGCGTCTTATCATGCTATCATAACGTTGTGATGGCGTCTTATCATGGTATCATAACATTGTGATGGCATCTTATCATGATATCATAACATTATGATGGCATCTTATCATGCTATCATAACATTGTGATGGCGTCTTATCATGGTATCATAATGTTGTGATGGCGTCTTATCATGTCTCTATAACATTGTGATTTCATCTTTGTCAACTTTAGGTCAGCGAGGACAACTCTGTTGGATAAATCTGTTAGAATCTACCTGTGTTTAGATTTTACTTCAGTGACGAAAACCAAGATAGTCTACTACCAAGCTCATGCAGGTAAGAATCTATTGCTAGCAGGTAAAAGTCTTTTGTGAAGGTTAGAGTGTATTGTTGGCAGGTAATAGTCTATTGTTAGCAGGTTAGAGTCTATTGCTGTTATGTAAGAGTCTATTGTTGGCAGGTATGAGTCTATTGTTGGCAGTTAAGCGTCTATTGTAGGCATGTACGAGTTTATTGTTTGCAAGTCGGATTCTATTGTTGGATACATCTTTTAATGTTCCTAATTTATTTTAGTGACATTACCAACTATAAAAATGTTTTTTGCGGCTTTCTTAAATATATCTATGATCAACGATTTCGATATAAAATGTAATGGATTAAATGATATATCTTAACAGAACAAAAAACAATTAATATAGTCATCAAGCAAAGCAATTATAATACAGTTACCGTATAAACTCAAGTAATAACACATTTTCCGTTTTTATTCTAGTAATAACGCTGTTACCGTATATACTCGAGTAATAACAAAGTTTCCGTATATACTCGAGTATTAGAGAGGGGTATCGAGCCGAACGCTGTTGTAGCCGACTCTTTTTCACCCCATGTAAACAACTTGTATCGTTCAATAACGAACAAAATTAGATTTGTGTATAAATCGAATATTATTCTTCTTCTTATTTTTATTGGAGTGGTTTTATATAGCGTGGTACCCAGCCCAGGAATGGACTCACCACGATGTACTTACAATTTAACAAACGTAATCACGTACTTTAAAAAAATTACATACATTAATTAAATAAAACAAAATAAAACATTGTGGCAGTGATGTTTTTTCAGCGAGCCGTCTAGGTAGAGAAGATAGATTCTCCATTTCGTATAGTCCTTTCAGAAATCATATTATAACATTCAAATCACACCCAGTACAAATGTAAATCTCTACATTCTTCCACTACATTTTAGCCTTCATTGAAGCATAGTTTGATGAGACCCGGTGTAATGTGATAGTTGTACACAAGGTATTTTTACTTTCATGCTGCAGTTCGATTTTTTTTTCTATTTTAAAAACGTTTCTTTATAAATATTGTAATGTATCTTTTATTTTATTGTTAGACTAAAACCAAACGATTTTCAAAATTGCCAAAATTACAAAAAAACAAAAAACAACAACAAACAAACAAACCCAAAAAGGCCCCCAAAACTTCAGTGGTTGCCAAACCGAACAGAGCGAACCCGAGCTGTAATAGTTACCGACTCGAACCCGAACCTACGCTATTACCAAACCGACCTGAACCCCAAACTTCAGTTGTAAGCGACTTTCGTATCCCGCATACACGGGAGGTAGAAATAGTTCTTTCGGTTTTGATGAACTTGTTTTTATTTCATTAAACAATTTGTGGTATGCGATGATAGTGTTCTTTAACTGTTGGCTTACTGTTGGCTTACTGTTGGCTTACTTTTTGTTTACTGTTGACTTACTGTTGGCTTACTTTTTGTTTACTGTTGGCTAACTGTTGGCTTACTTTTGCTAACGGTTGACGTACTGTTGACTTACTGTTGGCTTACTTTTAGTTTACTGTTGACTTACTGTTGGCTACCTGTTGGCTAACTGTTAGCTAACTATAATTTGGATATCTCCACCCCCCCACTCCCCTCTCCCCCAGCCAAAGACCCAGTTTTACTTGACTATCTGACAACGCGCAATGCTGCCCTGTCCGTGGAGTCTATCGACGACATCTGTACGGTGGACAGCCCTTACGATGCAGCTTTGTACAGCATCCTGCTCAACACAGGTGAGGAGGATTTACTAAAGGGATTCCATCATGTGTAGCTTTCCTATCTAACTGTGAAACATTAAAAATATCGTAAGGGCTCTGTACAGTATTGAGTTGCGAAATGATTGGCTTGGCTGCGTTTCAATCTTTCCATTTAACACACCACAGCTGACCCGACTGCCGGTATCCAGGACTGTCCGAGTGAGTTTGAGGCTATCTACAACACCACCGACACGAGCTGTGACTACACACTGACCACGTGTGAGCACAAGACAAGGATCAAACTGTCGGCCACGTCCTGCCAAAGGAGACCATTCTACTCAGGTAAAACAAAATCGATCATAATTCGAGGGCAGTGCTACCTTTGGTGTGGATCCTATCCTGGGCAGTGCTACCTTTGGTGTGGATCCTATCCTGGGCAGTGCTACCTTTGGTGTGGATCCTATCCTGGGCAGTGCTACCTTTGGTCTGGATCCTATCCTGGACAGTGCTACCTTTGGTCTGGATCCTATCCTGGACAGTGCTACCTTTGGTGTGGATCCTATCCTGGGCAGTGCTACCTTTGGTGTGGATCCTATCCTGGGCAGTGCTACCTTTGGTCTGGATCCTATCCTGGGCAGTGCTACCTTTGGTCTGGATCCTATCCTGGACAGTGCTACCTTTGGTGTGGATCCTATCGTGAAGTCTTTTTATTCAGCACAGACAAATCTGTAAAAATTATTTCATATACCTATATTACATTATTAAAAAAATCGAGCAGCGTACATTTCCAACACTAAGCAATCAACTAAAATTCCGCGGTAAGGACTCAGAGAAGCTCAAACCAGTGAAACCACAAATGTACTGATTCGTTCAAAAAAAATCAAAACTAAATAAACTGTCTTTTAGAAGGGCTCAACATTATTTTCAAACATTAAAAAAAAAATGAAAAATAAAAATAAAATAATGAAATCAACTTCTTTTCTCGCTTAAACAATGAAAAATATCATTCATGACTAAGACTGTGTTTATGAATCTTGAATCCGATTTAAAATGTTTAAGACTTTTTGAATTATTATGTGGTAATAGAAGTTGTATAAACAACCCCACAGTTCAAGGTGACGTGAGCTGCATCTACACCACTAATGTTGGAAGCACTACCTACCTCACGCTCATCAACAATGACGTCAACGTGGACGGCAATGATACGTATAAATTTACTTGTATTGTAAGTAGATAGTTAATCACGGTGTACAACCTTTGTGTACAATCTTTGTGTTGAACCGAAATGTTCATCATTGACCAAATATTAGATGTATCCTCCTCGTGAATTGTTCAATTTGAATTCCCCATTTATTCTTCCTTTCTGACACAAACAAAGTCTTAATACGCAATGATCGACTAAATGTGGTTCACTGAAGTTAATTTTTTTTTAAAAGTCAATTACTTACAAATTGAGGCTGAAGAGTTGTTAGCGGTCACATAATTGTAACACATGCTATTCTATAGTCGATGTAACATGGTTAACTAATACTCTGTTTGATTGTCATGGATGCTGCTATCACTTGAGTAATGTAATTAATTCTCTCAATCCTAAACTCAAACTTCACTGTCCTCTCACACAATGAGGTGTCAACGTCCATGAATAAATTTTACAGTACTTTATTATATGAATTACTACAACAAAAATAAGACTTGCTATGAGGATATCCTGCAATAATTCTAGGATGCAATAATCACACACTTATATAATATTCCACATCACAATTGAATCACAATACTTCAATACTTTAATAATCCATGCAAGAGAGAAATAAAAAGATGTCTGCTCCCTGTTAGATAAAATGGTACACTTCTCGGTCTACTCAAGCGTGCGATCTACCTCTCCCTGTCAGATCAAATGGTAGACTCATCGCTCTAATAAAGCGTGCGGTCTACCTCCGCTCTAGAAAAAATACGGTTCCCTCTTTCTCGTGATTAACAAGAGACTACAACGTTATAATCCAATTACTACTCCATCCTGACAGAATAGTGTCGTGTGTAAAATTACACCCAACTTGGTCTGTTACCATAATTTTTCGGGAATCGCTAGTGAGTCGAAACATTAAACTTTATATATAGAACAAATACATTTTATTTCACACTAGCCACAACTAATTTCTGAGTGAAATTTTAGAAATGCAAAGATTTCAAGGAATATAGTTGAATGTTTGAACACTGCTGGGAGAAGGCCCCGCTGTCATTTGACAGATATGATAATTCATCCTTGACCGGCTTAAACTTTTAATAGGATTTTTCATGTCTTAGACCGTAAAACATCACAGCATTACTATTTTTAGAACGTCGGACAAATATTTCTTAGAACATGGAAACTAATAGTGTGTCTCTGCAAATCGTTCGGACCACCCTTGTAATCTAGGGCCGCTGTTACATGTGGCGTACGCGCAATGAAGTCCCATTCCACAAAATAGAAGTAAAATATATATTTTTTTAAAAATATTCGTAATATATAGTTGTAAACAAGTTTTGCTTGAGGTTAAGGGCCTCTTCGCTAACATAGCAGTACTGAACAGTGTTGGCATTTTGTCAGGCCCGAGTACCCGGATGATTACAGCAGTTCTATAAATAGATTTCAGCGATTAAATTGCAAGCACTATAAACAGGAATATAATCTTCCCCACAGCAGCAATTTTAAACCAACACCATCCAGGTGCTGAGTCAAATCATGTTTTTTTTTTAAAATTTAAATATAACAAAAATATTCCCGTGTTTCAGGCCTTCACTGGGTCAGACAAATTACTCACCTTCACCCAGTCTCCCCGAGGTTGTTACGAGGGCCAAGCTCCTGATGATGCCAACACAACCACGTTTGTTTACACGCATTTAGGTATGTCAAAAAAAAATTAATATTGAAAAATCGTTGTTTACCGACAACTTAACTTTTGTGCTTAATTACGCGTGACGAGCACGTTACAATGATACCGGTTATTTCCCTTTGACTGTTCCCGCTGTGAATCCCATGACAGCTGCTCTTAACGTCATATCAACAAACTCTACTAATCGATATCCTGATAATCGAATTACATGTCATACGCTTTAATTGCATTTTCTATCTAAAGCACTTTCAATAATGATTTAAAAGTAGTTTCTCACATATCTTTCTGTGATGTTTCTCATTGCTTACACAACTATTTGATTGAATATATCTGTCTGATATAACTAACGATTTTTTTTTTAATTTTGATCCCACTCCAGATTCATGTCGTAAGTATTCATTGTTTTATACATTTATGTTTTTAAAATTTTATGTTTTATAATTATTATTGATAATTACCACCAAGGATTTTGAACAATCTATTAAAAATGCAGTTACATTGAGCTAGCTATTGCAAGCAATATGCAACCTGTACCACAAGAAAAAATTGTATTATTATCATTGATACTCTTTTAGTGGTTATTTTACCCCATCAGAGTATAAACATTGTTTTGCATTCCATAGAGGCCGATTGCATTCTAAAACATCATGGGTTTTTACACGGGTCCATAACATCTGACACAATGCTAGAAAATCATCAGCTTGTTTGAATATCTACTGTACGTCATTCAAACATATAATATTTACTACGTCAAACAGACACAATATTTACTGCGTCATACAGACATAATATTTACTAGGTCATACAGACAGAATATTTACTGCGTCATGGAAACATATAATATTTACTATTATTCCCATGTTTGTAATTTTTATACATACCATCACGTGACAGCCGTCCCAGAGGAGTTCAACTGGATCATCGTTGTCGCTGTTATTGCCGGAGTTATCGCTCTTATTATTATCTCCCTTCTCATTTGGTACTTCTGCTGTAGACGAAGATGTCGTGTGTGCCGGAAACATGAATCAAAGAGCCGGGACAAAGTCAGGATTGTGGGACGTGATGACGGGAACAATGGTGAAAGTGGATACGGAAATAGCGGAGGGAGTGGATCCGGAAGTGGAAATTTAAAAGATGGACGAGGTCAGTCTGGGGAAAGAGGCAAGAAAAATTCACCGTTAAAAATCTTATTGGATAATTTTACCCTGGATGAGGAAGTGGATAAGTCAAGGTTGAAAGACAAAATGAAAGAGGAAGAAGGGCAGACTGAAAGGAGTGAAGAGAACGGAGAGGAGAATCAGGTTAAAGAAGAGGGAAGCGTGGAGATGGACGGAGACAACGACAAGGAGAAGGAAGGAATTAATGAAAATGAAAGTGGGAGTCATTTAGAGGGCAAGATCCGGCCGGTAAGTCAATATGAAGGTGGAGGGGCGTGGTGGGGGGTGAGGAGTAGACACTTAAGCATTGGTCTATTGATCGAAAAGTTTTGGGTGGGACGTTCTTGCACTGAGAATTGTAGTATGATGATACCTGAAGCAAACTGTGAACGGTTTGTAGGATAGAATATATTAAACATAAACACTTGTTTAAAAAAAAAATTGTTTTAGGAACTTCAATGTTTCCCTAACGCATCCAAAGCCAGCAAAAAAAGTGCGTGCCTCGTTATGTATTAACTGGAAATGATCTGTGGAAAACCATGGAGGCTCAGAACCACAGAGCACCCCCACCCCCGCCCAAAAAGCTCCCCTACTTTCGCTCGGGAACCTTCGGCGCTCTCGCTTTCTTCTTCCTTTACCCCCCTCCCCACCCCCGAATATGCGCTCCCCACCGGCCGAACAGGAATGTCAAACGAATCACTTTTCGAATGTTTGAAACGCTCTGTAAACCAAAGTTACTGTTAACATGCGATAATTCAACAAAAAAAACAAACTTACTAACTTTTGTCAAATTCCTCAAACCACCCTTTTTACTTGATCATTGGGGACGTTCTGGAAAGCACAATTTCTATTTACATTTTAAAAAAAGAAAAATACATCGAATATTTTTCGCTTCTCTAACTATACAGTAAAAAATGAACAACTTGAAACACTTTGTTAGTAGAAATTATGCTTCTTTCAAAATAGCTTTAAAAAATATTGCAAATTGCAAATGTTACAATTTGTTTCATCGTATCACGTCCTAGAAATGTTTGGTATGACGACATTGAAATGTTTGGTGATGACATAGAAATGTTTGGTATGACGACATAGAAATGTTTGGTAGGACGACATAGAAATATTTTTTTGTAAAGGCTAGTTTACCGATAGAGGTCATGATTTTTGTAAAACTAATTTTAAAAGTAGCATCATGTTGACCGATAAAGTAGAAGACTCACATTATTTCCCTGTCTGATGTGTTCACTCATCTGTTTGGAAGGTAAGAGATGGAGAGGGAAAGGCAAGAAAGAAAAGAAGGAAGAGGAGAAAAAGAAAACGAAAGATGAAAACAGTTTCAAAAACGTTGGAGGATGGCACCGTAGTAAGTCTGGAACTTTGTAACTGTCGAGTCCAGGATTTAAGTGTTACACAGAGTCATATTTCAATGTTTCAGTGTTTTACAGACTCAGCTTTCAAAGTTTCAGTTTTTAAAGATTCAGATTTAGTGGTTCACAGACTCAGTGCAAATCATTGATTGTGTTTTAATAATTGACGCGCAAAATAAAATGTTCTACAACTGCACTTTGCATTGTGAAAAAAATGTTTTTATTTAGCTCACATGACAAAAAAAATTTGAAAATAGGATTTTTAAAAACTATGGTAGTTGATTTTTTTTTATTTCACAGAAAGTGAATTAATTTTAAATTTGATAAAATAAATGATTTTATTAAATGGGAAGCTCAGATTTTCATTCCGCAATTTTTTGGGTGGGCTATTTTAGGTTGTGAAAAACTTTATTGAATTTTTAATGTGCAGGTTGAAGAAGAGTTATCGACCGATTGGACCGACTCCGAGAAGGCCAGCCATGACGCTGTGAGCGATAATGAAACTACAGATGTCAGCCATTCTGATGACGTCAGTTCCGCTGGTGACTCCTATTCTGAAGACGAAGAAAGTGACGTGTCGCAAGACTCTGAGGTACAATTCATGGTTTGGTGATGTTGGTTAGAGACAGAATAAGGAGAAAGATATCCGATTTCTCAAATAGAAAGAAATTGTTTGATTCTCAGTTAGAAAGAAATGGTTTAAATCTCAAATAGAAAGAAATTGTTTGATTCTCAATTAAAAAGAAATGGTTTAAATCTCAATTAGAAAGAAATTGTTTGATTCTCCATTAGAAATAAATGGTTTAAATCGCAATTAGAAAGAAATTGTTTGATTCTCAATTAGAAAGAAATGGTTTAAATCGCAATTAGAAAGAAATTGTTTGATTCTCAATTAGAAAGAAATGATTTGATTCTCAATTAGAAAAAAATGATTTGATCCTCAATTTGAAAGATATAATTCGATTCTCAAGTACAAAGACATTTGCAAAAAGGATCAAAACGTTTTTTTGTCCCTCATACCCTTAAAAAACACAAGAGCTAAAAAAAACTCTTAACTATACCGAAAACAAAGAAATACACAAAATTCAAATGTTCTCATGTTTAAAATGCTCCGTTGTGTCTTCTATCGACCAGAACACTATCTGGAACATACGCCTATATAGAAAAGCTCCATTCATATCCTTTCTCTTGTCCTATCTGGAACACACACCTATATAGAAAAGCTCCATTCATATCCTTTATCTTGTCCAACCTTGTCCCAAATCGATAAAATAATATCGTTGGTAGAGCGTACGTCTTTTTTGTACAGCACAGGAGAGTCATTTCTCAATCTATAATGATACAAACCCTCAATAATCAATAATCAATATATCTACGTGAGGCCCCCAGCTTAGAACCAACGTTTGATTTTTGTGTGTTTACAAACGTATCTGTAATCGGTTTTGAAACAGTATGTCTAAACCTTAAGTCATGGATTTTTTTTTTATTGCAAAGATGGAAACATATTATACATTTTGAAATGTTGATATTCCCATACCAATATATAATACGCGCAGAAAGTAACAGTACTGCACCTCTCGTATCTTAAATGCATGCGTGGGCTTGTCGCCGGTACAGATCTGCAGTCGTCACGTGTTGACAGTAGTGTTAATGGAATATGTTTGGCCGTTGTAGTTGGACATGAGTCTCTCACCGTTGGAGATCTTTTCACAGTTGACCACTATTTTCGCTTGATCTAGAGTTGTCGTGACAAAAGGCCGAGTTTGTACACCTAGACACAAGAATGGCGAGATAAGTTTGATGAGATGGCACCAACTAACTCAGTTGTGCCGTCTGTTGCTACAACGAAATTTTACATTTCTTGAAAGGTAATTGGAGAGGGAAGTCTGTTTGACCAGAACTATTTAATACAGAGTAGCACACGTTCTCTCCAGTAGCTGCTGCATTAGATTTGTAAAGTCTAAGACGATCATTCTTGAAACTTAACATTGCTGAATACCGCGTTCATCGGTTGTTGAAAGGCATAGGAGCAATTTCTTACCAGATGCAGTTTGGACAACGATTGACGGAGCCAGATATGTTGGCCAAATATGCGGGTCAGATGTGCGGGTCAGATGTGCGAGCCAGATGTGCGGGCAAGATGTGACGGCCAGATATGTAGGCCAAATATGAGGGCCAGATGTGCGGGCCAGATGTGCGGGCCAGATGTGTGAGCCAGATGTGCGGGCCAGATATGCGGGCCAGATATGCGGACCAGATATGCGGGCCAGATGTGCGGGCCAGATGTGCGGGCCAAATATGCGGGCCAGAATGGATGTGTCAAGCATTTCTGTGTAGTGTGTAAGAGGATTTTTAGGAATCTGTTGTCTCCGACAGAAGTAAAATTCACAAAGGCGTCTCCCCTTCCGTTGACAGAATATCTTTCATTTAATGGTCTATCAGGCGTCTCCTTCCGTTGACAGAATACCTTTCATTTAATGGTCTATCAGGCGTCTCCTTCCGTTGACAGAATATCTTTCATTTAATGGTCTATCAGGCGCCTCCTTCCGTTGACAGAATATCTTTCATTTAATGGTCTATCAGGCGTCCCCTTCCGTTGACAGAATATCTTTCATTTAATGGTCTATCAGGCGTCTCCTTCCGTTGACAGAATATCTTTCATTTAATGGTCTATCAGGCGTCTCCTTCCGTTGACAGAATATCTTTCATTTAATGGTCTATCAGGCGTCTCCTTCCGTTGACAGAATATCTTTCATTTAATGGTCTATCAGGCGTCTCCTTCCGTTGACAGAATATCTTTCATTTAATGGTCTATCAGGCGTCTCCTTCCGTTGACAGAATATTTTTCATTTAATGGTCTATCAGGCGTCTCCTTCAGTTGACAGAATATCTTTCATTTAATGGTCTATCAGGCGTCTCCTTCCGTTGACAGAGTATCTTTCATTTAATGGTCTATCAGGCGTCTCCCCTCCGTTGACAGAATATCTTTCATTTAATGGTCTATCAGGCGTCTCCTTCCGTTGACAGAATATCTTTCATTTAATGGTCTATCAGGCGTCCCCTTTCGTTGACAGAATATCTTTCATTTAATGGTCTATCAGGCGTCTCCCCTTCCGTTGACAGAATATCTTTCATTTAATGGTCTATCAGGCGTCTCCTTCCGTTGACAGAATATCTTTCATTTAATGGTCTATCAGGCGTCTCCTTCCGTTGACAGAATATCTTTCATTTAATGGTCTATCAGGCGTCTCCTTCCGTTGACAGAATACCTTTCATTTAATGGTCTATCAGGCGTCTCCTTCCGTTGACAGAATATCTTTCATTTAATGGTCTATCAGGCGTCTCCTTCCGTTGACAGAATATCTTTCATTTAATGGTCTATCAGGCGTCTCCTTCCGTTGACAGAATATCTTTCATTTAATGGTCTATCAGGCGTCCCCTTTCGTTGACAGAGTATCTTTCATTTAATGGTCTATCAGGCGTCTCCTTCCGTTGACAGAATATCTTTCATTTAATGGTCTATCAGGCATCTCCTTCCGTTGACAGAATATCTTTCATTTAATGGTCTATCAGGCGTCCCCTTTCGTTGACAGAGTATCTTTCATTTAATGGTCTATCAGGCGTCTCCTTCCGTTGACAGAATATCTTTCATATAATGGTCTATCAGGCGTCCCCTTTCGTTGACAGAGTATCTTTCATTTAATGGTCTATCAGGCGTCTCCTTCCCTTGACAGAATATCTTTCATTTAATGGTCTATCAGGCGTCCCCTTTCGTTGACAGAGTATCTTTCATTTAATGGTCTATAAGGCGTCTCCTTCCGTTGACAGAATATCTTTCATTTAATGGTCTATCAGGCGTCCCCTTTCGTTGACAGAGTATCTTTCATTTAATGGTCTATCAGGCGTCTCCTTCCGTTGACAGAATATCTTTCATTTAATGGTCTATCAGGCGTCTCCTTCCGTTGACAGAATATCTTTCATTTAATGGTCTATCAGGCGTCTCCTTCCGTTGACAGAATATCTTTCATTTAATGGTCTATCAGGCGTCTCCTTCCCTTGACAGAATATCTTTCATTTAATGGTCTATCAGGCGTCTCCTTCCGTTGACAGAATATCTTTCATTTAATGGTCTATCAGGCGTCTCCTTCCGTTGACAGAATATCTTTCATTTAATGGTCTATCAGGCATCTCCTTCCGTTGACAGAATATCTTTCATTTAATGGTCTTTCAGGCGTCCCCTTTCGTTGACAGAGTATCTTTTCAAAACGGCGAAATTCGGAAACACTATGCCACAGAATTGTGTCACTCCGAGCCGTCGTTATAAAACTCTCTCGGAATTGTTCGGCCACCATTTTCAAACGGCGTCCCTGTTCACGACCACTTTTCAGGAATACTCTTTCCTCCGCTGGAGATCGACTCCCACCCACCACTGCCCAACATAGCTCCATTGGAGACCGACTCCCACCCACCACTGCCCAACATAGCTACGTTGGAGACCGACTCCCACCCAACACTGCCCAACAAAGATCCGCTGGAGACCGACTCCCACCTACAACTGCCCAATATAGCTCCGATTAGATCTTAGGAAACATGTAGCTCCTGGGAATAGTCAACTTTCACCAACATAGTATAACCGTTCAAAATAACGTATTTTCAATAGTGCTGCAATTGGCGCATACTGTACTTGTTCGGCCATGCAATAAATTCCTAGTCCAATACAGAGTGTTTGTATCCCTATTTCAGTACATTTCTCTTTACATACTAAATATTTCTATTCCTTTTTCAATATGTTACTATTCAAATACCAAATATTTCTATTCTTGTCCAAATGTTAACTCAATTTAAATATTATGCCATAACAGAAAACCTACTCCCTTTTCTTTCCTGCCTCCACCACTGCTGAAACGAAGAAATAGAAACGACACCCATGATTCCTTTTTTATCTGTTTACATTCTTTTACCATGTACGAACAGGTGGACACCTTCAACGTATTAGCAACTTAATCCGTTTATCCAAACGATTATTAAATGAGCACTACCACCACAAACCCCCCACACGACAGACCACATCAATGGCTGCTTCATATCACCACTTCTCCTACGCTAATCTACTTTTCCTTTCACCGTCTGTCGTGCCCATTGACAGCCTGGTCTGAATTCAGGCCGTCTGCCTTTTAAAGACCACTGGTTACATTTGTATGTCTGAGAATCCACGGAGCACGTTTAAAAGGAAGTACGCGTCCTGTTATGGAAATTGGGTCTTCGGAGTCGCGGAGCTGGTATCGTCACATTTTGTGTGGAGTCGTGCTGAGGGGTTCGATTACTGTTAGAGAAAAAAAACATTTGACGTGTTCACAAAAAAATATTTACCATTGCTGTCAATTTATCAGTACGATTTATGTCAACAATTGTGTGATGTAGTTGGCGTTTTCATGGAATCGGAGCCGCAATCGACAATTATTTTCACACCGATTCTAAGTAGTAACTAAAACTAACGGTGAATAAATTATTCCGGAGTCCACAATCAAATGAACGTTCGCATTCAGAAAAAAAAAATGGAATGAGTTTTTAGTACAAAAGAAAACATTTTTATGTCACATATTTTTTTTTTTAAATCCATAAATGTAATCTTGTCAAGTGGCCAGGGCTGTACGTAAATGAAATGAGAAATTAGTTCAGTAACTTTGTTAGATGGGCTTATAGGTGTTGCTACCGAAATATGTGACAGATAGTTGTTATAGATCGTACGTGGTTAAGATAACAACGGGATCCTATGTGGAAGGATTGTGTGTAGTCTGAGAAATGTAGAAATTGTATTTACCGTTATTTCCAGCAAGTTGTTCGCCTAATTAACTGGCGTTATGGTCAACTTATCCGTCTGATGTTGTAATGATGGGAAACATTTAATTCGACGGACCATTTCCTATCGAGGACGATGGAATTTACGTCGTTTTAAAGTCGCAGTCCCACCGATGTCGGAATACACAGTTCATCTGAAATGTTGGCGTTTAATGTTGGTGTTAAATGTCGGTGTTCGATGTTGAACGTCTTGTAGCAGAGTTAATGGGATAAGAAAAAAAGATAATCTGTAAGTATATCTGCCCTGACCACGCACAGAGCCCTGTCCACGAACAGTGCCTGTCCACGCACAGTGCCCACTCCAGGCACAGTACCCTGTCCACGCAAATTTCCCTGAGATATTGTTTACATAGTTGTAGCTATATTATACAATGATGATTTGTTTTAATTTAATATTCTTGGCAACGGTGTGACGTACTACACATAGTTTGCCTTGGGATAGAGTCTGGTCGCCTGGAGATCGCAAGTACTCACATTAAATCTGCTTCAGTCTTGATATAATTTTAACACATTTCATTAATTAAAGTTCCAATGAAAAATTGTTAAATAAACAGATTTGACTTACTTTGAAATAAAATAACGAAGTGTATATCTGATCTGTAGTTTATTTAGACTAAAGTTAAAAGGAACATGATAATCTCATTTCAGACCAGGGTTAAAATGATGATAGATTCTAAATACAACCAGAGGTTGGCGAAATCTTGGGAGAGCAGGCGGAAAAATCCAGACCTGGTCCAGGTAAGACTAGTGTTAAGTGATTGTCTCTCGTGAAGGAATTCAATTTGGAACTAAAAACAGACTTGAAAGATATTAGAGGGGACACATAGATTAGAGGGGACACGTAGCTTAGAGGGGACACATGGCTTAGAGGGGACACATGGCTTAGAGGGAACAAGTGGCTTAAAGGGGACACGTAGATTAGAGGGGACAAATGGTTTAGAAGGGACACGTAGCTTAGAGGGGACACATGGCTTAGAGGGGACACATAGATTAGAGGGGACAAGTGGCTTAAAGGGAACACGTAGATTAGAGGGGACACATGGTCTAGAGGGGACACATGAACAAGAGGGAACACATGGCTTAGAGGGGACACTTAGGATTTAATATGTAACGAAAAGACAGTATTCCTTCTTAATGTATGTGCCGGGCATATTATGATTTCTTTAACCTCGCTCTACCGCCCACTAACTGGTTATCGATTTCATATGATTGCCAATCATGCTTGACAGCCCATGCACGATACCTGATGTAAATTATCAAATGTTGATAATTGATGATGGCTAATTCGTGTTAATGAACAGATCAATGCCAATTAACTTTGTAAACTGTATTTGGCAGTGCCCCGTAATCTCCATGGCACACCTAGACTCTTGCCAGAGTTGCGCGGCACACAATAATTAAAACGGGGAAAAAATCTATCCGACTGATTTACTTTTGTTTACCAACGTTTAAACAAGATTCATTTTTGGTTTCATTCCTTAAAGACGTGAAGATACCATGAGTGAGTACATTGTTTAGACGATACCATCAGTTAGTACATTGTTTGGACCAGGTTTCTTGTGAAGATACCATGAGCGAGTACATTGTTTAGACGATACCATCAGTTAGTACATTGTTTGGACCAGGTTTCATGTGAAGATACCATGAGCGAGTACATTGTTTAGACGATACCATCAGTTAGTACATTGTTTGGACCAGGTTTCTTGTGAAGATACCATGAGCGAGTACATTGTTTAGACGATACCATCAGTTAGTACATTGTTTGGACCAGGTTTCATGTGAAGATACCATGAGCGAGTACATTGTTTAGACGATACCATCAGTTAGTACATTGTTTAGACCAGGTGTCTTGTGAAGATACCATGAGCGAGTACATTGCTTAGACGATACCATGAGCGAGTTCATTGTTTAGAACTGATGCCTTTTTTTGCGTGATGTGTTTTATAGAAATCATTGTCTACTTTTTTTCAGTGAGGTTTTAACTCAAATTTAACAGAGTCTTTAAAATAATAATAAGTTAATGTTCTAATTTGTAGTATTAAAATTGTAAATTATCGACAATAGTAGAATTATTTCCGTTTAACATCGTATGCGTATACAATACTTTTTAAGTGACTCCGTTAGTCATACAAAACTCAAAATAAAAACATTAATACAAAACAAAGAAAACTCTACATCAAACTGTAATGAGATCAGTTGGAACAAAGGCAAGAGAAAGTTATTATTTAGCCTCTTTGTTTCTCCTCTGTACATTGTACTTAATCGTTTCATACGTTGAGTGTATTTTTGTGGTGTACTTATTATTTTCATACCGAACTTAACATGAGGTGCATACATTTTTTTTGTGCACTTATCATTTTCATGCTGATCTAAGCATGTTTTGCATACATTTTGTGGTGCACTCATTATTTTCATGCTGATCTAAGCATGTTGTGCTACATTTTGTGGTGCACTTATTATTTTCATGGTGATCTAAGCATGTTGTGGATAAATTTTGTTGTGCATTTATTATTTTCATGCTGATCCATGATGTGCACTCACACACAGTTTTGCCTACTGAGTAATGTTTTACCTACAATTATGCCGTTCTCATATTTTGTTCCACCTATTTATTAATGTTTAACCAACATCTAAGCCGTACAAGTATTGAGATATCAGATTGTCCTTTCCCCAGGACAAGACAAGGCCGAAAAGGCGACATGACTTTGAAGAGAAAGATATGAAGCAGCTGAACGCCTTGGCTGCGGGTATCCCCGCTAGTAAAGTGGAACTGATCAAAGAAGTGTTTGATAAGGCTGGCTGGCAAAGGAAGAACAGAGTCCATAAGGGCAGGGATGAGATGATGGCCTTGAGGTATGTTACATTACGTCATTAAGAGAGGTAGAGGGCATCTGGGCGGCACCTTTTCCTTTTATTTGATGGGGACAGCGTTTTCAGAATTTTTGATAGGACAAGGTTGAGCGACAATTTCTGGCCCGTCCTGGATGGCACTAAAACTTACGCCCAACCACCCCCCCCCCCCACCCCTGGGTACGTGTGTTGCTAATGAAGGCAGGTTGTCTTCAGAGCTCGAAAGCGACCTGGTCAGACAAGATTTTAAGCACTGCTAATAAGTAGAGGTACATTTTTTTATGAATTCACGAAATATGAATCATGGGATGGACATTTTGATTAGGACGTACTGGGACAGACACTATTTTGGTTTAGGACGTACTGGGACGGACACTATTTTGGTTTAGGACGTACTGGGACGGACAACTATTTAATTAGGACGCCGTGGGATAGACACATTTTAATTAGGACGTAGTGGGATAGACACATTTGAATTAGGACGTAGTGGAATAGGCAACATTTGAATTATGACGTAGTGGAATAGGCAAAATTTTAATTAGGACGTAGTGGAATAGGCAACATTTTAATTAGGACGTAGTGGAATAGGCAACATTTTAATTATGACGTAGTGGAATAGGCAACATTTTAATTATGACGTAGTGGAATAGGCAACATTTTAATTATGACGTAGTGGAATAGGCAACATTTGAATTAGGACGTAAGAAATCGTTTTAAAATTTTATTTTAACATTTACTTTAAAAAAAAAAAAGAACACTGTAGATTTTAAGACGTCAAACTAATAGCTTTAATCTAGCCCTCCAAATGATTTGAGGATAAGGCTTACATTAATTCTTCATACAGAGTCACTTCCCGCCAATAAAAGAAAACAAAAATATTTCCCATGTTTTCCCATAGCGGGACAAAAATCAACATTCAACAACAAAAGGGAAAAACCAGATCTCCGTGGAATCATCCAGGAAACAAATCAACCGCGATAGAGCCGGGCCATCTCGGCCGTGTGGGGCTTGACCCAGCTGGAAATCCCAGCTTACTGGGGATCCCTTTCATGGCCGAGTACTACAGCTACACACAGACCAGGCGCCAGCTGGACGACGAGGGATTCTGGGACGCTCAGGACGGACACTTCAAGACATCGGAGGAACAATTTGTACGAAATTCTTTTTTGACTTTACGAGTTTTACAAAGTTCTGCGTTGAGCTTTTCTTTCTTTTGTTTAAAACTATAGAACAAAAAAAAATCCTGAGAAAGTGAAAGAATAAGTTTGTACACGTTTGTATTTGTACAATTGTATATTTTACATTTGTTCATTGAATAGTGTACATTTGTGAGTCATTGTCACCTATCAGTTTTCGTTACTTATGAACACTCACTAACATCTTAAAGATGAACGGTGATTTTTTAAAAGACATGGGAACCCTGCTATAACGCGCCCCGCCATAACGCGAATTCGGATATAACGTAGGTCGTAGCATGGCTCCCGAAATTTGAAATTCATTTATTCCATCAGGCATAAGTTCTTTGAAAATTTTATCAATTGCTTGGAAAGCCTTTTTTTAAAGCGAAAAAAATCCAAACTTTTAAAAATGTCGTAGAAAATGAGCCCCTAAACAAACCACGTTCAAACTAGTGTCAAAATTAATGCCGAAAACGAGGCTTTCTTACGGTAGAACTATAAATAAAATAAAAAAAAAGAAATATTTTAAAACTGCGCATTAACACAACCCCGCTTTTAATGCGATCCGATTTTATGGACCCCGATCATCGCGTTATAGCGGATTTCCACTGAATATATATATTTTTGGCAGCGGTTCTCCGATCTTGAAAATGAGCTCCTGAAGGAAGAAGCGATAACATACGGACTGAAGGATGAGCCAAGTGTTGAACAGGAAGCTGCTTTAGCTGTTGAGAAAGTGAGTACGCTATCTTTGACCTTCACCTTTGGTAAATATTTATGTGATTGTGTGGGGGCAGTCACGCTGTAGTGTATGCACAATTCTATGAGCATAATGTCAGCCCTATTTCTTAAAACACATGCAATTTTTCATCCAGTGGCGGAGCTAGGGTTGGTGCCCCCGATACAAGCAAAGCTTTAAGCTGACCCCTTTACACGAAAACAACATTCGCAGTTGGCAGAAAATGCCACCCTCAATATAGAGAAAAAATATGTGCTGTCTGAAAAAAAAGGGGGGGGGGCAGACGGCTCTTTCGTCCTCCTTCATCACATTTGTTACCCGTTTCCTAACGTGTCCTTTTTCTCTGACCGACTCCTTTATGATTTTTATGTGCCTCAGTAGCCCTATAATTACTTTCGTTTTGCCCATTTTGTTTACCTACATTGGCTCTGCCCATGATGTTTAACGTTGAAAGCTCTTCATTTCAGGGGCGTAGAAAGTCCACGAAGCGGGTCATGATAAGTAACATGCCACCACTTTCTACGACCATCTCAAGAGAAGAGGATTGCGACACAGGCATAGACACCCAGTCTCAGGTTGGGTCGTTGGACGGCAGGCAAGACGAAGAGGTCACCAATGTACAGGAGACAGACAATCAGGTAGGCTGGACGTCCGCTGTCTGTCGTCGAGCTAAATATCTTGACTCTATCAGCACTATTTTCAATTGCATCGATACAACGTATGACAAAATAAAGGTGACTCCGAATTTAGGTATGACAACATAAAGGTGACATCGAGTCTAAGTATGACAACATAAAGGTGACATCGAGTTTAAGTATGACAACATAAAGGTGACATCGAGTCTAAGTATGACAACATAAAGGTGAGTTCGAGTCTAGGTATGACAACATAAAGGTGACATCGAGTCTAAGTATGACAACATAAAGGTGACATCGAGTCTAAGATAGATCACATAAAGGTGACTCCGAGTCCAAATACAAGTTAACGCGATGACTACAAAAAGTAGTACCGCATGGTGGCCCCATCCTTTCCATCATGACTAAATCCTTTGATCCACATAAGAATCACCGAAACTGCATGTCGTGTATTATATATATTTATTAATACAAATTATACACAAGTGCGTCTTACTCTTAACAATATTAGTGAGGCTAGTATATCAGTCGAAATATGAACCAAATCTATGTGGTCTTTTATCTGAAATATGAACCAACCCTATTTGATCAATATAATATGATATACAATTTGATAACTGAACTAGCAGTATCATGTACAACATGATATTGAATCTGAGAAGTGTACCAGTAGCACTATGTTCTATTAACAACATGATATTGAACCTGAGAAGTGAACCAGTAGCTCTATGTGCTATGTACAACATGATATTGAACCTGAGATGTGAACCAGTAGCTCTATGTGCTATGTACAACATGATATTGAACCTAAGATAGAACCAGTAGCACAATGTGCTAAGTAAACATGATATTGAACTTGAGATGTAAACCAGCAGCTCTATGTGCTATGTACAACATGATATTGAATTTGAGTGTCACAGCCCACGAATAGGGGGTACGTGATTATAGAAGGCACGCTGTGGTCCCATAGGAACTGTAAAGCATGAACAACAATTTGACGGGATTTAAAGACTTTAAGGATTAACATGTTGACAGTAGGTCTGTGCTGTGGTTTTACAGGACTTAACGTCTAAGACAACCAACCGATAGGTGGCTCTAGTTCATCTGGTTGTGTTCTGTCAGACATGTTATTACATTCAGTTGTAACTATTTCATAACGCTGCGTTCTATCTGTGGGATATATTGCTTCCTCGAATTGTAAATTTTACTTGCTTTGATCTATCTTTGGGATATATTGCTATCTTCAATTGTAACTATTTCATAATGCTATGTTCTATCTGTGGGATATATTGTTACCTCCTATTGTAAAGTTTTCATAACGCTGTGCTCTATCTGTGAGATATATTGTTATGTCCAATTGTTAAGTTTTCATAGAGTTTTCAGCTGTAAGGCATCATTATTGCTTTCAGCTGTAACTATTTTATAGCGTCATGTCTCACCTGTAAGGCTTCATTATTGCTGTCAGTTGTAACTATTTCATAGCGTCATGTCTCAGCTGTAGGGCATCAGTATCACTGTCAGTTGTAACTATTTCATAGCGTCATGTCACAGCTGTAGGGCATCATTATTGCTGTCAGTTGTAACTATTTCATAGCTTCATGTCTCAGCTGTAGGGCATCAGTATCACTGTCAGTTGTAACTATTTCATAGCGTCATGTCACAGCTGTAGGGCATCATTATTGCTGTCAGTTGTAACTATTTCATAGCGTCATGTCTCAGCTGTAGGGCATCAGTATCACTGTCAGTTGTAACTATTTCCTAGCGTCATGTCTCAGCTGTAGGGCATCATAATTGCTGTCAGTTGTAAATATTTCATATCGTCATGTCTCCGCTGTAGGGCATCAGTATCACTGGCAGTTGTAACTATTTCCTAGCGTCATGTCTCAGCTGTAGGGCATCAGTATCACTGTCAGTTGTAACTATTTCATAGCGTCATGTCACAGCTGTATGGCATCATTATTGCTGTCAGTTGTAACTATTTCATAGCGTCATGTCTCAGCTGTAGGGCATCAGTATCACTGTCAGTTGTAACTATTTCGTAGCGTCATGTCTCAGCTGTAGGGCATCATTATTGCTGTCAGTTGTAAATATTTCATATCGTCATGTCTCCGCTGTAGGGCATCAGTATCACTGGCAGTTGTAACTATTTCCTAGCGTCGTGTCTCAGCTGTAGGGCATCATTATTGCTGTCTGTTGTAATTATTTCCTAGCTTCATGTCTCAGCTGTAGGGCATCATTATTGCTGTCAGTTGTAACTATTTCCTAGCGTCATGTCTCAGCTGTAGGGCATCAGTATCACTGGCAGTTGTAACTATTTCCTAGCGTCATGTCTCAGCTGTAGGGCATCATTATTGCTGTCAGTTGTAACTATTTCATAGCGTCATGTCTCAACTGTAGGGCATCATTATTGCTGTCAGTTGTAACTATTTCATATCGTCATGTCTCCACTGTAGGCATCATTATTGCTGTCAGTTGTAATTATTTCCTAGCGTCATGTCTCAGCTGTAGGGCATCATTATTGCTGTCAGTTGTAACTATTTCATAGCGTCATGTCTCAGCTGTAGGGCATCATTATTGTTGTCAGTTGTAACTATTTCATATCGTCATGTCTCCGCTAAAGGGCATCAGTATCACTGGCAGTTGTAACTATTTCCTAGCGTCATGTCTCAGCTGTAGGGCATCATTATTGCTGTCTGTTGTAATTATTTCATAGCTTCATGTCTCAGCTGTAGGGCATCATTTTTGCTGTCAGTTGTAATTATTTCCTAGCGTCATGTCTCAGCTGTAGGGCATCATTCATGCTGTCCGTTGTAACTATTTCCTAGCGTCATGTCTCAGCTTTAGGGCATCAGTATCACTGTCAGTTGTAACTATTTCATAGCATCATGTCACAGCTGTAGGGCATCATTATTGCTGTCAGTTGTAAATATTTCATAGCTTCATGTCTCAGCTGTAGGGCATCGATATTGCTGTCAGTTGTAACTATTTCATAGCGTCATGTCTCAGCTGTAGGGCATCAGTATCACTGTCAGTTGTAACTATTTCGTAGCGTCATGTCACAGCTGTAGGGCATCATTATTGCTGTCAGTTGTAACTTTTTCATAGCGTCATGTCTCAAGCTATAGAGCATGTTTATTGCTCGCAACTTATTTTTTCATATCCACATTTGTTCGATGTGTCAAGTGTGTTTAAAAGTCGAATGTTTTTAGAATTGGTTTAGACTTTTTGCTGTGAAATGGAAATTAAAATAAATAACCATGCAAACAAATGTGTTGATTATTGCAAGGTCGTCCTCACGCGCGCAACTTTCCCATACTCTTATCCATACTTTATCCATGGATTCATAAAAATTCATAACGTCTCCACTGAAAGACATCTTTATTGATGCCATTTGTAACTATCTCATAGCGGCGTGTGTCAGCTGTAAAGTTTGTGCCATGTTTATAGTTACGTTTGGCCAAGTATATTATATTGGTATTGTTATAGGTATCGGATTGTCATTGGTATTGGTATTGGCATTGCATTTGGCATTGGTATTGGTATTGGCAATGGCATTGCTATCGAAATTGGTATTTTTGAACAATTTGAAATAAGTTAAAATAACTACTTATTAACATGTTGCTGTAGTTTTAAATTGGCTTACAACGGGAGATGTATGCAGGATCGGTTTTTTTTTCAGAACATCTTCTCGTATGTTTAGCTTGACATTGCCTTTGCTGTTCTGTGGTTTCGTATTGTGACATGAACATTAGTGTCAAAAATAAAAGCATAAGAAAAGTTGAACTTTCATTTAAAAGACTTTAATATAGATTTTCAAACACTGGCCCTGAGCTCAGGAATCCTATTCTGCCAATATGACGTCGTTGGGATCAAGGCTGAACGGTTTTCTACCACCTGTCAATCAACAGTCCATCTTTCAGTCACTCGGTATGGGTCAAGCAAGTGTTAAGCAGACGTCTTCTTTTGACTATGAAAGATTGTTCTTTGGAAGACAGAATTCTGAGACTGAGTACAAAGATAAGGAGGTTTCTAGAAATGGGGATGACAAGGTGGTGTGGCTAAAAAGAAGCCGGTTCCGAAATGGGTCAAAGACAACAAATGCCTCGGGGCCAAAGATCAGCGTGAGTCGTGAGTGTAGTTGTGTCTGGAGTGAGTCAGGACTAACGAACTAAGATCAGCGTGAGTCGTGAGTGTAGTTTTGTCTGGAGTGAGTCAGGACTAACGAACAATAGACTGAGCGCATGAAATAATTAGGGCCTGTGAATTGGGGTGGTGGTGGTGGTGTCCGATTGTATTTAATGTCTAGGATTAGTGTAGGAGAGTTGTCGGAATGATGTGGGAGAGTTATGGGGTATGTTTGAGGATCAGGTGCAAAGGAGCAGACTCTCAAAATCAGAAGGTTCAAAAAAGTCATCAAATTTATAGGGCTGAATCATACTCATTTTTTTAAAACGAGGTTAGGGGGCAATGTTGAGTCTTCGTCCGGGGCGTAGATTTGCACTCAAGACATATATCTTTAAAATCTACGATTCAGACCCCATTCTCAGTCAGATAAACAATGTTCGATCCTGCTGAGTGTCGTCCATTGCTTGACAGGGGTAAGTAGTACTTGGGTGGGCTAGATCAATGTTTTTAAAAGCTGTTTTTAAATTAATAATTGTATTTATCTTTTAAAAAATTTCATGTTGATTTGTTTCTTTTCTTTTTTATTCTTCTTTTTTTTTTTTTTGTTGCTAATTTTAATTTGAAGCGCAGTGAGCCTAGTCCTAGTCTGTGTTACCGCGCTATATAAGAACACTCTAATAATAATAATAATAAATAACGGATATGTTTTTAATTTGGCTGTAATCAGTGAAGGATAAAATGTATTGCCTTACTGAAGGAATCTCTTTAAAGATTTGTTTGGATTGCTAATTACTGCAGAGTATTATGTTTCTAAATGTGAATATATTTCAAAGGAACACTGTCACTGTCAGAGAAAATATGTTTGTTTTTTATACGTTGGAAAGAACACTCAGCAGTAACGAACTGTCTACTTTAACATGTGTTCTGCCATGTCAATAATAACAATGGTTCTGTAACGGACAATGTTTTCACATGAAAACAGAGAGGTAGCATGAGTGAACAATGAATGGTGTTGACCATGTTTTTGTCCACGAGGACAATGAATTTTATTTTGAGATACAAATGTGAGCTCCACGTTTTTGGAGAGTAAAATTATGTTTTTGTCAGAGCGGTTGTTTTCCACGCTTTGCTGGTAATGAAGTATGAGTTGACTGAGATAGTGAGAGCTGAGCGCAGAGCAGTAGAGTCAGTAGCGTGAGAGCTGTGTGATTAGACAGTTGACAGTTTAGTGTGAGGACGTGTCTTTCTTAATGATGGAATACTATAGATATATATGTGAAATTACATTCATGCAAGGATTATTTATTAATATTATCAATATAAAGTGTGTTCAATAAAGTACTGTAAGTTTAACCAGGATTCAGTATTCTTATTTGCGTGCCCGGATTATAAGTGGAAGAATGAAGAAGCCTTAGTCGGCATCCTGAAATATCAACATAACATAAGTAACCATACTACTGACATAACCCACAGCATAAGAAATAAGCTCCCACGCCATGTCAGAGTAGGTGTGTTACAGGTTCATATAGCTTCCTTATCAACAGAGTACTTGACACAACCAAACATTTTGCTAATCAAATTAATCTTGACAGTGTGGGTGACAGATAATCCAATATAGCCGCGGAATTATAAACGTCGCGTTTATTGGATTCCTTTACTCTTGAGCAGAACGTCAATTGCATATCATTAACAGCGGTTTTAAAAACATGGTACATCGACCATCCATATTTAGAAAAACGACTTGTTAAACTCGACATGTGTAAAGATACATTAGGGAAATTATAATCATTTCCTTGATGACTCAAGTAATATCCATTTGAGCATATTTATTTTTATACAGTTTTTTTCCCTGTAGTTTTTGCTACTTCAGAGGCTGTAAGAATTGCATATAATAAATTGTAAGGCTTGTATATAGCAAATATATTGAGCGTATCAATCATTAAATACTTTAAATGGCAACGTAAACGTTTATATAAAGAAAAATAATTATTGATATTAACTTAATACTAGATAAACTTTTGTTCATTTACAAAGAAAAATATGGAAACAAAGAAGGTTTGGGAACGTACGAGTCCAGCATTAAAATGTCCGTAACAGCTTTTAAAATTTCGCTGCCGGTTTGGACGTCCAGTGACAACTTGTAACTCTATGCGATGAATGCTCCTAGGACGTGTCTACTGAAAGTAAAGTTACCATGTTACAAGTTTAAACTCTTACATGCTTTTACTTAACAACATCACTCCTAAAATTATATCGTAAAAGTAACCCACTACAACGATAATTTACTGGAAATCAGCTGCCAGTACTTTATCTTAAAAAAGCATGGAATAAGCGATAATTTTTCGCTTCAGTTTCATTACTTCATAACTCAACATGCACATCAAATGATATCCCTCGTTACCATGCAGGTTGTGGCACCGACCCTTTCCAACAATGATCCCATGTCAAGGTTCTACGCCCGACTTCAAGAGTTAAATGAGACGAATGATGATGACATTGATACCAACAACCCTGACCCGGATGTAGATAAAAGAATACGAGTAAGCAACGTAAGAGGCTTTGCTTTGCTTGAAATTATAGAATATTTGAACGTGTCACGAAACTTTTTATTATTATTGATCACTACATGTAATGAAATAAGTTTATTTAGTGAGATCCAAATAAACATCTAAACTTTGATAAACATTACTATTCCGTTAATATTTTAAGTTTCGCTTAGCTTAACAAGTATCTATTAACTGATATACATATACGGTACGTTAAATATTGCAATCTATTATGTAGTATTAATCTGCATTTTGAAAGGAAACAAGCAGAGGGAGTCTTTATTTCTTACTAGCTGGGGAAACGTAAACACGTTGCGAGTGTAACATACGGTAGAGGTACATAATCTATTGTACTCATAATAATAACTCTAGATGGCTCTCCATATATCAACAAATGCTTTGTTGTAATTATTCTGTAAAGAAGCATTTGGTGCGTTCTTTATCAAACACAATGACGTGTAAGCAGTGAATAAAAGCGCATCATTGTGCTCAATGAGAGAGGGGCAGACGAGATCCACTCGGAAATTATAGTTTAAGATATAAAGTGTTACATTATTGAAGTATTTGTACAAAATCATTCAAATAAATAAATGTAACATATTACCTTTTACACCAACGACATTTTTGGTACACGGCTTTGTTCAATAGTTATACTCGAATTCAAACAATAATTGGTGTTTTAAATAGGTTAAACATTCTTATGTATGTTATATTGAAATATTGGACATCACCTTACGGATAGACGACCGTTGTATACCATTGCACATGACAAGCTTTTAGACTGGGGGTGTAATGTCTGTCACCAAGAAGAGCCGCTCTAAGCAATCAACTTGTTTATTGTAGACTGTGATTATGCTATTGCCTTTGCTTTTTAAATTAAACATAACAATATATTACTGTACAGTATACCAAAATATGATCTTGAATCAAAAGAGGGGGGGGGGGGGATCAGGATTTCAAGTTATTCGTTTTTTTTAGGGGTAAGGAAAAAAAAAAGTTAATTCAAATAAAAATGGAATATATTCTTAACTGCGATATTATCCTTCGGTATCTTTGAGACACTGAGTAGTTGAACAAGTTAATGTCTTTAGGATCACAGACGAATCAAAACTGCTCTGAGGCGCCTCTTGACAGAAAGATTGATCTCAGACCCAAGCAAGCTGAAGAGCAAAAAAGCAGGCGTCCAGAACGAGGTCAACGGACGTCCCATAGGTGCTATTTATAGCAACACAAATCTATCGAAAAATGGGTTAGGAGTTGGACAGTTAAAACCAGGACCAGGGACAGACCGTTTCAAGGTTACATCAACGAATGGAAGCAAACCGGTAGGTGACCTATGACACCCTGGGCATATACAATAAGATAGAGGTTAACAAATATGCATTGAAATAATTTGGAAGAAAAGTCGTGGACAATCAATGCCTTTGGATTTAGGTCACAAATAGGAATATAAGGTATAGAACGTTTATACTGCTTCTTTTTTAAAATCAAATTCATGGAGGCCATATATGTATATAACTATTGCTTACATAAATTCTGTATTTAATTATTAGTGTTAATGGCACATGGCGTTATAAAACCATTTATTTAATATTTATTATATAGCAGCATCAAAGTGAGAAATGGATCTTTATAAACTGGTCTTAATTATTTTATGGTTTTAATTCCATGATTAATTGAGCGATTTGTTGTATATTTTTTTTATGGCAGGGTAACATAGTGTTGACGGATCTTAAAATAAACGGCATTCCTGTAGGCCAGCAAAGTGACCCTGACATCCAGGACATCGAACATAAAAAACAGGAGAAAGGGTATCAGGCACCCGATACTAGGTACATGACATAGAGTTCTTCTCTTCTATGCCCTTTTCAGCTAACAGTGAAGCATAGGCAATTAAAAAAAAAATTTTCAAGTACAAATGGAGCATAGGCCATTGAAAATATCGCTAAACTACCAAGGGAGCTTGGGCCATTGAACATTTCTTTGAACTGATAACGTAGCATACGCCATTGATAATATCGTTGAAATAATAAGGCAGCATATGCCATTGAAAATATCTTTGAACTACCAAGAGAGCATGGGCTATTTCCTTACCTTCCTGTTTCTTGCAACCTTCTTTTTCAAAAATCTCTACTATTCCTATGTAGTCGGCGTAATTTTTAAATAATTTTTTTTCCATTTGCATCATCAGAGAGTGAATGAGAAACAAATATCAACCAAACGAGATTTAGAAACGACATATTAATGCTTAAAATCAATTAAAGTACCATGTAATGTGTATATTTAAAAAAAAATACATGGGGCACATTCTTGGCCCCCTCACCCTAGTCTTTGGGTACAATCCTGCAAAACGCGGACACTCAAAAAAATTCCTAAACACCATTAACTGTGATGACATGAGGTATGCTTAAAGGAATCAGCCTTAGAAATTGATTCCAAAATGGGCTCCACGAGTAAAAAAAGATTGGAAATCACTGGTTTAAGGAATACAAGTCTTAATAGAGGGAAACCATTCATCCAAAATGACGTGACCATCAGATGTTTGGTAATGTTTTGCCAATAATTGTTGTAACCTTAAACTGAAAATTATTTTAACAGCTTTAACAGGTTTAATTGTTATTTTTAAGGAATTTGACTTGAGCCCTATCGACGAATGAGTAGCATGTGTGTAGCTCTATCAACGAATGTGTAGCATGTGTGTAGCCCTATTAATGACTGTGTAGCATGTGTGTAGCTCTTTCAATCAACGTTTAAAGTAAAACATGTTTAGTTTGATTAAATATCTTGATTGTAGTGTAATTTTTCATATATATTGTTTAATGCGGCGCCCAGTAACATTTCGTTATATCCAAAATTAAGACTCGGATCATGGATCGTTTCTTTTTTAATGAAACAAAAGATTTTTCTGTACTGTTATAAGTGGGTTTATAAATAACTATAAATTTGTCTAAGAATTTTTTTTGTTTTTTTCAATTTCATAAGACAACCTCTGAAACCAATTAAACAAGACCGGATACCACGCAAATACTCACAACCTATTTCTCAGAGGTTGAAACCGACCCCGTCCCATAACGAACGGCTGAGTGATGGTTTAAAGACAGACCAGGCTTTCCTGCAAAGAATTCAAGCAGATCCGGCAGCAAGAGGAAAATCAAACAAGGCCAATCCCAGTGCCTTCTGGTCAAACAATCTCTCCCAACAATTCTCGGAACACAGAAGTCCCGCTGATCTGAGATACGTTGATGATTTGGACTTGAGGCGACTCCTGGAGGAGCTGTACAAGGACAAGAAATATATGGACAAGCTCATTACAACAGCAGGTAATCTATGCTCGCCTGATAACTTTGGCAAGTCATTACTGTCTGGAGGTGTTCTTATAGCGAAATACTAATTATATTTCATAACAAAGAAAAAGGCTTTGATGCAGAAACCCTGAATTTCTTAATGTGAACTTAATAAAATATAATTCAGCCTGTACGATAATGTAAAGAGACAAAATATTTGTATTAATTTACTATCATTTAAAAAATTTTCTTAAGAATATAATATTTTAAGAGTACAGTGTTTCTTAACCTTAGCTTAACAACATCGACTTCCCTAGCTTCATGTTGTCCCTCATTTAGCTACTCTATCTCTATTATTATAGAGGATGACCTCACCGAGACGGAAGTCTGCAGGAGTCTAGAACAAGGTCGTGACTACCTCATCCAGAGGGCATGTTTCTGGCTTGAAAGGGGGCCATTGCCCCCACCACCGCCTTTAACGGCGTTCTCGTCGAAGGAGCAGAAGGTGAGGGCAGCCGACAAGAATCCCGCACAGAACGAGAGTTCCACGGCCAGATCTCGCGAGAAAAAGTCGGAAACCCTAAAAGCACAACCGCCCGGAAACGGGCACAGCAAGGAAACAAATGAGAATTCAAATAATGTCAATGAAAACCAAGAAGTAAAGATTGGCAATGGCCAGTGGCAGGCTCCAGAGTTGCAAGATAGAAGCTTTGGGCAAAACCGGCAGCACTCAGCAACCACAGATGATTTGGTGCCGAACGGAATCCAATAGGGATAATAAATCATAAGGACTCGTCGGAATCATGTAATAAATTCACTTGGACAAGTTAGCCCCAAGATATTAATTCATAAGGACATCTCAGCTTTACAAAACACGAATGCTAATTCTTTCAAATAGGGTGAGGCTCTTGAAAATGAATTATAATTCTATCAAACAGTGTGAGCTTCTTCAAAGCGAATGCTAAAAGTCTCAGACAGTGTGCGGCTCTGCAACATGGCTCATTGGAATCATTGAGTAGTGTGAAATCCTCTTAACATAAGACAAGGTGAAAAGATGGACTGGAAATCTTAAGCAGTGCGAGAGAAGATTTATCAGAAATTGTTCAATAAAAAAAATTTTAATGGAGATTTTTTTCCCACCATCTAATAAGCAAATCTGTGATACCCATAATTATTTTCTTGCTGTTAAATATGTAATTCAGGAAATAAATTGCAGTATTATATCTTTATATTTTGTTTGCAGTCTTGTTGCTCTCATATCTTTATGAAACAAACTTTAGGCTATGTGTGTATATACTGTGTTCAAACAAGGCATTGAGAACTTAGACATAACGTTATCTGCTTAAATTTGGCAGTTATTGACGTTACAAATATGTTTAACGGTACATATGAACAGAAATAACTTGTTGCCAAAGTGCTAACAGAAGCAATCCACGAACTTGTTGCCAAAGTGCTAACAGAAGCAATCCACATCGATTTTACGTATATAAGTCATTTGATCGATTTTTTTTTTATTATGATAGAAATCGGTTCTTCTTAAAAAAAACTAGCATGGGCGGGGAATTAGCGAACAGAGACAAGGATTGTATCATCGTTGTAAAATAACTATAAAGCAAAGAATAAATCAATAATAAAGGACAAAACAATGTCAGTACTACTTAAACAAAGGTATCATTTAAACATTGTTAGGGCTGCCACAATAGCTAGATTGGAGTTCTTGGAGATTAATAAAAGGATGTTTGAACTTTTTAAACTTTTATTCAATCAAAATAATGGATGCATTTACATAACAACATCACCACTACATCAGAACTACACACTACAACAACAACACATTAAAATAACACAGCAGAATAATACATAATGAGAACTACACATTACAACAACACATCAAAGTACCACAGCAGAATAATACATAAGTACTACATATCACAACACATCAACATACCACAGCAGAATAACACATTAGAACAACTCCTTTAAAAAAAATCTTGAAACTTATAAATTTTATTGATGTATTTATGGATCAAAATTAATGAGTACACTTCAATTTTTGGCTATATTATAAAAATCAAAGATAGACTGATGCAAAGTTTACCTAAAATATTTGTGCCCACTCTTTTTAAATTATCATCTTGTCAAGCGAATTAAGGGTGTCTGGTCTTGGGTGTGAATAATAATTTAACAGACACGAAATAGATATTTCAATGCCACACCTTTTCATTAACTGATGGAAGAAAAAAAAAATTCCGACCACATGATACAGGTAAATATAAATATATATCTTTTTATATGAGCAAAATCAAACCAATCCAATATTAAATGCATGCACTGAATCTATCGAACGTGAAATCTCTATAAATAACACATATCACCAATAAAACTGTCCCAGCAGTCATTGGAAATTTAAAGTAAATTTGTCCAGCAAACATGGGTTGAAAACTAGTCATAGCAAAACAAAACCCTACGATCTAATGCATGCCTTGAAGAACCCTGCAGAGAAACAGTGGGATGGTGAATGATTGGAGGTGTGAGACATGACTATGTCAAGTGAAATGTTATGAGCTGAGAGACATGATTGTGTCAAGTAAAATTTTATGAGATGTGAGACATGATTATGTCAAGTGGAATGTTATGAGTTGTGAGACATGATTATGTCAAGTGTAATGTTATGAGTTGTGAGAAATGATTATGTCAAGTGGAATGTTATGAGGTGTGAGACATAATTATGTCAAGTGGAATTTTATGAGATGTGAGACTTAATTATGTCAAGTGGAATGTTATGAGTTGTGAGACATGATTATGTCAAGTGGAATTTTATGAGATGTGAGACATGAATATGTCAAGTGGAATGTTATGAGATGTGAGACATGATTATGTCAAGTGGAATTTTATGAGATGTGAGACATGAATATGTCAAGTGGAATGTTATGAGATGTGAGACATGATTATGTCTAGTGGAATGTTATGAGATGTGAGACATGATTATGTCAACGGGAATGTTATGAGATGTGAGACATGATTATGTCAAGTGGAATGTTATGAGATGTGAGACATGATTATGTCAAGTGGAATGTTATGAGATGTGAGACATGATTATGTCAAGGGGAATGTCATGAGATGTGAGACATAATTATGTCAAGTGGAATGTTATGAGTCATATGAAACTGTGCTATCGTAACGGTATTTTATGTACAAGACATTTTTGTGGAAAAAATATTTGCAAATTAGGGGAGTTCAGAAAGCATGGCGAACATTTGTCGCTATAGTTAGGCTAACTTATGTCGCTATAGTTAGGCTAACTTATGTCACTATTGTACGGCTAACTTATGTCGCTATTGTACGGCTAACTTATGTCCCTATTGTACGGCTAACCTATATTGCTATAGTACTGCTAACCTATGTCACTATAGTACCTCTAACCCATGTCCTTATAGTTAGGCTAACTTATGTCCCTACTGTACGGCTAACCTATATTGCTATAGTACTGCTAACCTATGTCACTATCGTACCTCTAGCCCATGTCCTTATAGTGCTGCTAACCTATGTCCCTATTGTACGGCTAACCTATATTGCTATAGTACTGCTAACCTATGTCACTATAGTACCTCTAACCCATGTCCTTATAGTACTGCTAACCTATGTCCCAATTGTACGGCTAACCTATATTGCTTTAGTATTACTAACCTATGTCGCTATAGTACCTCTAACGTAAGTGCCTATAGTACTGCTAACTTATGCCCCTATAGTACTTCTAACCTGTCACCATAGTTCACTGAATTAGAACATGTATAACATATTATGGCAGTAGGCAAATAGCAAGCCTAACAAACTTCTTGTCTGAGTAACTTCCAAGACTTTTACCGCACAACTCATTTGCTTTAAGCACTTATATAAGTTCTTGAACCAACAAGTGGACACACAAGTGGTACAAAAAGTGGACCTGCAAGTGGACCGACTGTAGGAGAGAGAAGTGGACCGACTGTAGGACAGAGAAGTGGACCAACTGTTGGACAGAGAAGTGGACCAGCCACTGGACTGACAAACTGACCGGCAAGTAGACTGACAAGTTTTCCCTAAGCACGCATTTGGGGATGAACTCGCTTCCATTATTGTTATTGAATTTTGACATTCACTTCTGAACATTCACACGTCATATAATAATAAATCTGAAAGGATTCCTCCTTAGTAATCTCGTGCAAACAATACGCTCAAATTCATTATCAAAGCAAATTAACTAATACTTTTTCATTCCCATACCAACTGACTTTAAATAATTTGTCTTATAATAATTATATTCATTCTTATAATAATTAAAACCATAATCAAACTAATTATATTCATTCTCATACACATTTTTGATCAATTTTACTATGAAAACTTCATTATAATTTTCAATCCCCAATTCATTAAGTTACTTCCATATTTTAAATTATGAAGTGAACATATTGAATTATCCCTAATAGACAGCTTGGTATCGTCACATCTCCAAGTATCGATTTCGTGCTTGATAGTTGGATCGTTGCTATAACATTACATCGAAACAACGATTCCAGCCAGGAAAGATCGATCACTGTAAGATCATCACCCGGCACTTGAGTACGATCTTGTCGTCCTTGATGTACTTCCGCTGCTGGATCATGTCGTGCCCCACGAACTCGATCAGACCCCAGCAGTCGCTCTCCGAGTCCGAGACGCCACATGGTTTCTGAAACTGGAACTGGTTGCCGCTGGCCCGCAGGGAGTCACTGTGGTTACCTGGTGGAGTAGCGATTGAAAACGTTGGTTAACGCATTCTCATAAATAATGCGAGAAGTAAGTAGATTGCCACCCCCCCCCCCCGGTAAGAGTAAGACTATGGTGGGGGGGGTGGGAGGGAAAATTTTGCTGAAGGGAGTCACTGTGGTTACCTGGTGGAGTAGCGATTGAAAACGTTGGTTAACGCATTCTCATAAATAATGCGAGAAGTAAGTAGATTGCCCCCCCCCCCCCCCGGTAAGAGTAAGACTATGGTGGAGGTGGTGGGAGAGAAAATTTTGCTGGTAACACACGAAATCATGTAATTACTGCTTTAATCGCTAACACATAGCTCTCCCAAACCTTTTTCTATTATCCTAAACATGGTATCAGCGAGTCTAGTGTTTAGAATCCCGACTACATGATGTCAGCGAGTCTAGTGTTAAGGATCTCGACTACATGATGTCAGCGAGTCTAGTGTTTAGGATCCTGACTACATGATGTCAGCGAGTCTAGTTTTTAAGATCCCGACTACATGATGTCAGCAAGTCTAGTGTTAAGGATCCCGACCACCTGATGTCATAGAGGCTAGTGTTTAGGATCCCGACTACATAATCAATATAGCACACACGTCATCATTTAAAAAAAAAAAACAAACTAATCTAACAATGTGTTGACAACGTTTCAGTTACCTGACTGGTTGACCAGTATGACGACCAGGTGCATGTTGACTGGCCACTTCATGTACCTGTCGTAGTCGCCCTTGATGATGCGGAGAAACACGGACATGCACCTGTTGGTGGCCGTGCCGTTGCCGTTGAGGTACGCCTCCATCTGAGCTCTGGGAGTGGACGATGATATGGAGTTATTGCTATAATTAAACTCTAGTTTCTAAACGATACTGTATTCGTAACTATTGTCTTAACAATACTGAATTTTTCAAAATTGTGTCTTCACAATAATGTATCGATACCGTATTCTTTACTCTAAGTCTCATCGTGGGATTGAAGAAATGATACAACTTGTTGATGGTAGTTGCTGCGTGTGTGTGAAGAAGTTTGTAAATGGAAATCTAAATTTTATAATTATTTCCTTGGAATCATATTTCTGTGGTTTCCCAATTCAAAAGTATTAAGTAATGTCAGTAATGAGTAATAAGTAATCTTAGTAATGAGTAATAAGTAATCTTAGCAATGAGTAAAAAGTAATGTCAGAAATGAGTAATAATTAATGAGTAATAAGTAATAAGTCATGAGTAATAAGTAATGAGTAATAAGTCATGAGTAATAAGTAATGAGTAATAAGTCATGAGTAATAAGTAATGAGTAATGTAAATGCAGGCAATCGTGATCTTTTGTCTTAAGTAGACCTTGCACATGGCATGATGTGCTCAAGAAACGTGAGGCTGGGGATAAAAATAGACTTATGGTAACCAGAACCTCCAGCTGCTAAAATGAAAAATATGGAGAGACCGAGGTATTAAGATGAGAAG